AGATGTGCCTTAACCAGCTCCTTACTGACGAAGTTTTATATTTTCAGTTTGTCTTTAAAACAGTATTGTAGTGACTATGCTTAGACATTTGTCTTTATTTTGAAAATTCATTATTGAAGTGCCATCAGGAGTAAAGTAAGACCTTCAGGAGGGAGGCAGGTTGTCAAGTAAGAGTGAGATTACACCCCTGCCTCTAGAAGTTTAGGGTCTTGAAGCCTGATGTTTGTGGGTGGAAGGATGGTATGCAGTGATTATTTACAGGGAGTAAAGTTGAAAGAGGTGTGGTTTATTTACAGAATTTCTCAGACACAGAGTAATTTGCTCTTTTCTTACTGCCATTTGTTGTTCTGTGAATGAAGTGGGGAAAAAACAAAGGGCCATTTGCCAATTTATTCCAGCAATAATTTTTGTTTTCTAAGACAGCAACTGTGCAACTTACTAATCATAAATCCTTTATATATTCTCAGAAAGTGTGGACTCCAAGAACCTTTATGTATGTGAACTAAATAATATTTATTTAATAATAATTTAATTTTTTTGTTCCTTTCCCACTACCCATGTGACTACATTTTTAAATAACAGCAACAAACTCTTTACATGTTAGCATAATATTTTTATGAAAATATTCTCTAAAATATGACATTTATGAGAAAGGTATCATTGTTTTACCTTTTGCAGAGCTCTGTAATAACTGACAGTAGACATCAGCTAGCTTGTCAGATTGCTTTCTTCATTCAGTTTGTTGGGTTTATTATTTAAGGTAAATTAGTCCAAAAAGCTAAACCCCGCAAACCAAATTCAGTTTGCTGCCTAACTTAATAAATAGTCCACAAACCAAGAATGGTGTTGTGTCTGTTTGGCTTTTATTGTTTGGGTTGTTTTTTTTTTTTAGTAGTGCTGGGAATCAAGCCTGGTGTTTTGCACGTGCTAAGCAAGTATTCTACCTTTGAGTGTATCCATAGCCTAGGGTACTTTTTATTTTTGTTTGGTTTGGTTTTTAAAGGCAGAATCTCATATATTCCAGGCTAGCCTCAAACTTGCTGTGTAGTCAAAGATTAATTTTAAACTTATGATCCTCCTGCCTCCACCTCCTGACTACTGAGATGATAGACATGTACCACCACACCCAGTTGATTCATGCAGTGCTGGAAAATGAGCTTCTAGCAAGGACTCTGCAGCTCCTAGAGCATTTTTTGTCATTAAAAATCAGAAGAAAGGCAATATTTTTTTATTTTTTCTTTATTAATTATACTTTTCTCACTTTGTATCCCCCCCCCCGTGGTTCCCTCCCTCCTCCTGTCCCAATCCCTCCCTTCCTCCACCCTCTGCATGCATGCCCCTCCCCAAGTCCACTGATAGGGGAGGTCTTCTTTTCCTTCCTTCTGATCCTAGACAATTAGATCTCATCAGGAGTGGCTGTATTGTCTTCTGTGGCCTGGTAATGCTGCTTCCCCCTCAGGGGGAGGTGACTAAAGAGCAGGCCAATCAGTTTATGTCAGAGACAGTCCCTGTTCCTATCACAATGGAACCCACTTGGATACTGAACTGCCATGGGCTACATCTGTGCAGGGGTCTTAGGTTATCTCTATGAATAGTCCTTGGCTGGAGTATCAGTCTCAGGAAAGACCCCTGTGCTCAGATTTTGGTTCTGTTGCTCTCCTTGTGGAGTTCCTGTCCTCTCCAGATCTTACTGTTTCCCACTTCTTTCCTAAGATTCCCTGCACTCTGCCCAAAGGTTGCCCATAAGTCTCAGCATCTACATTGATAGTCTGCAGGCAGAGCTTTTCAGAGGTCCTCTGTGTCAGGCTCCTGACTTGTTCCCTCTTTTCTCCTTCTTCTGATGTCCAGCCTCTTTGCTAGAAAGGCAGTATTTTATTACACATGAAAATGCAATGAATTTTCAAATTTTAAATTTAAATTTAAATTTAGTGGTCATCAGTAAACCTGAACTGGGTCAAATAGCCAGCCTCATTTTCTTTCAAATTGCCTCTAACGGCCACTGAACTATAGGGGCAGAATTGAATAATTGCAATAAAGGCATACAGAGTTTGAGAAATTTACTATCTGGCATATTAGGACAAATAAGGTTTAACAACTCATGAACAACCGCAAAGAAAATCTAGTCTCACATAGTAAATGGAAAAACTACTATACAGTCATTTTAGGTATTGTGGATATCCTTTGGTAGCACATTAAAACCCAGATGTAGTTCCTAAGAAGTTAGTTGCAATATGGAAGCTGAAATTAACAGTTTTTTTGTATCATAGCATTATAGACCATTTATTTGTCTTATATTTGACTAAACCTCTTACGTATAGATGAGTTCACATCACACTATAGTGGTTATTTGTAACAGTCCAATTCATTGAGTTAAGCAGATCTTTCTTTCTTAAAATTTAGTTTTTATTAATTATAGTTTATTCACTTTGTATCCCGACTGTAGCTCCCTCCCTCGTCCCCTCCCAATTCCACTCTCCCTCCCTCTTCTCCACCCATGCCCTTCCCCCAGTCCGCTGATGGGGAGGTCTCCCTCTCCTTCCATCTGACCTTAGCCTATCAGGTCTCATCAGGACTGGCTGCATTGTCTTCCTCTGTGTTCTGGTAAGGCTGCTCCCCCCTCGGGGTGGGGGGGTGATAAAAGAGCCAGCCACTGAGTTCATATCAGAGACAGTCCCTCGCTAGGGAACCCACTTGGATTCTGAGCTGCTATGGGCTACATCTGAGCAGGGGTTCTAGGTTATATCCATGAATGGTCCTTGGTTGCAGTATCTGTCTCAGAAAAGATCCCTGTGCCCAGATTTTTTTTTTTTTTCTCTCTCTCTCTCTCCTTGTGGAGCTCCTGTTTTTTCCAGGTCTTACTATCTTTCCCTTCTTTCATAAGATTCCCTGCACTCTGCCCAAAGTTTGGCTATGAGTCTCAGCCTCCACTTTCATACCCTGCAGGATAGAGTCTTTCAGAGGCCCTCTGTGGTAGGCTCCTGCCCGTGCCCTGTTTTCTGCCTCTTCCAGTGTCCATCCAGTTTGCCTTTCTGGATGAGGATTGAGCATCTCACCTAGTGTTCAGAAGCAGAAAGACACACATGGTATATTCTCACTTATAAGTGGATATTAGACTTATAATGTAGAATAATCCTACTAAAATCTGTACACCTAAAGAAGCTAGGCAAGAAGGAGGACCCTGGGCAAATATTTCATCTATTCACTGTCAGAAAAGCCGATTTGTTACTATCATAACCTTTTTGTCATAGAAGTTGGTAAATGCTAAGAAGTCTTTAAGCTTTTGGGCATATATGCATAGTTCTCAGGATTATACTGTTTCTTTGAAAGTTGATATTGAAAAATGTATCTGCCTCATTAAATCTAAAGAGTTATGTTTTATCAGCAGTTCATTCCAAAAAAGAAGGAATGTCAATGTTCATGGAAAAACTCAGAAGCAGTTTCTTCAGTTTTCCCATGGCCAAATGAACAGTTGGTAAAATCATATTTCATTATGTATTCCTGTTGATAGGGGTTGTATTCAAAGCTCTGTAAAACTTGGAAAATTGAGGTTTAGTTGTCTATTGATGATTATTAATATTTAATATTGACTTACCTTTTAGTTAAACAGCCATTATTCCTAATCAAGCTGAATACGTAAATCACAACGCAGAGACTAGGACTTATTCGGTTAACCTAGAGCACAATGCTGGGCAATAAACTCCATCCTAAACCTCCAAGCCTGCATAGCTTCCTCCATTCACAATTCATACGTTATGCTTGCTTTTTAGTCATATCTTTGGTTCGGTTCATTTCTCCTGATGTTTCCCAGTCCTCTCCTCTCTGATCTCTCCTCCCATTCCTTCTTTTTCCTCCCCTCCAGACCAGGATGTCCCACCTGTTCTCTCTGTTGCTCAGCATTGCCTGGTGCTTTTTATTGGCAAATGGTAGTGTGTTTACACAGACTTGAGACAGATGATGTAGAGTAAGTGTCACAATGCAATGTTCAGATTGAAATGAGATAGTAGGGTAGAGAAATCAGCCTCTGAATGAACAAGGGTAAATTGAATACATTCCACAAGAACATTATACCAACAGTTGTCATTGAAGTTCTTTGTGTTTTAAGTATAATTTTAGAGATACTTAATTAAAGTTGAAGTGAAATTCAGAGTAGAATATGATATCTCAACATGTTTATAGACCATTTTAAAATTATAGCATAGATTTGTAGCTATCTCATTTCAGTCTAAAAACACCAGTGTGCATGATGTAATGAGAAAGCATAGGTTTCAGGGTCCCAGCTATATAGGTCAGTGATAGGAAGAGCATGTATTTATTATAGACAAGGCCCTGGGTTTGAGCCCCAGGTGGGGCTGGGGGGAAAGCCTAAAACAAATACAAAGACTTATATTTCATCTGGACTTGTTGACTCCACTTTTTGCTCGTAGATAGGTACTACTTTTGAGGTATAGGTTTATGGACACAGGAATGTTTTTAGAGAAAATATTAGTGTTTTCAAAATAATTCCAAAGGAAACTGAAGAAGCATTTTCTGTTGGGAAAAACTGAGTTAAAATATATGTAATGTGAGACATAAGAAACGATTGTAGACACACTGGACAATACCCCATTGGGGATTAGAGCATCCCTAAACTCACTGGAGCAGAAAACAGAAAATGTAATCTTTCAGTCTCCTTGCTGACATGTGCTCCATGGATGCATTTTGGGAAGCTGACAGGAATCTGTTCCCCTTATCAGAGAATAAATCATAGCCTTCTTCCATCATTATCTGCCCAATGTTTTTCCTTCTGTTTAAATCTAACTTGCCTTTTTTTTTTTTTTCCTCTCATGAAAAGTTAGGAAGCCATGATATCAGGTAGACTATAAATAATTTAAGTATTATCTGATAAAGCATCTACTTTGGGAAAGGAAATTGATACTATAAATTACCACCTGTGTAAAAATTGTCTATTAGTTACTCATAAAATACATTGTTGATGGGAACTCTCTGTGTCTGAATTGCAGATGTGGGGGACCAGCCGGGTGAGGTAGGTTACTCAGGCTCTCCTGCAGAAGCACCTCCGAGCAAATCACCCTCAATGCCATCACTGAACCAGACCTGGCCGGAGCTGAACCAGAGCAGTGAGGTTAGCAAAGCTGCCCTTTCTCTGCTTAACATTAACTTGTTTATGGGAAGAAGTTTCAAACACAGTCGTTTCAGCACAGAATTCCTCCAGTACACACAGCATAGGATTCCTCCAGCACACACAGCATAGGATTCCTGCAGTACGCACACAGCATAGGACCTCAGAAGGACAGTAACAGAAATAGTATTAATTGTGTAGCTTGTGGGATTTTTGTACTGGGTACACTGTCCTATGATTGCCACCGTATCTCCCCACTAAAGCCTTGAGTATTGGGTGGGGCAAATGCATCAAAGTGGGAGTGACTTAACTAGATCCCATGTCCAGGCAGATTAAAGAGCAAGATTTGGACACAGTCTTTCGCTGTTTCATCAGCAGCTATGTCCATTGAATCTTCGCAATTATATAACTAGGGTGTATGAGGATATATTTGCAATTTTGGCATTGAAGTGATGCGAGAGACAAGTCACTAGTTCAGCTTTCTACATGAAAAAAATATTTTCTATAATCCAAACTGCTTTTAGTTTTATTGAAAACAAAATGTAGGCCAGACATGGTTGTATACAACTTTAATCCTAGCACTTGGGAGGCAGAGGGTCTGTATAAGTTTGAGGCCAGGCTGGTCTACAGAGTGATTCCAGGATAGCTAGAGCTATGTAGAGCAACCCTGCCTCAAAACACCAAAAGAAAAAATAATAATATAAAATGAAGTAATTTTACCATATTAATCTTGACCAGAGGTAAGCAAAAGAGAATAGGGGCAAACGCAATGCTTCCCAACTTTGTGGACAGCAAGACAGCACTCTCAGAATATAGTGCAAGGGCCTGAGCACCCCATTCTGATAGCCCTGAGGCCTTCTCTGACAGTTCCGTGTTCTAGAGAACTTTGCTATTAGCTCTTTAAAGAAGATTTCTTTGTCAACTAAATTTTGTATCTACAAAAATAAATGTGTTGACTTTGAGGGGAAAGTAAGCTTTTGTGCTTTTCTCTCTTTTAAAGCCAGAAAAGTATTTTGTTAAAGTCACCTCGTTAATTTGGGGCCCCTGGAAAATAGAGAACTGGCAGTTCTGTATGACTTACTGTTGCCTTCTAAAGTGGCTCTGCTGTTGCACCACTGCCTCCCGCCAGATGCAGACCTGTGAGTGTATGGGATTGTGAAGGGAGGCAGTAAGCCTTGCAAGAATTTGCTGGAGGAGGCTTATGGAGAGTAGGGTAGGCATTTTTAAAGCTGCGCTTAGATTGTGGTCGTTTTTTTTAAACACTGTTAAGTTGACAGAGTGCTGTTAGCCTATTGTTGATGGTTTGTACATAAAAGCAACCCTTCCCAAAGTGTCGGGTTTCCAAGTTGATCTCCATTCTAAAAGAAATTAGGTGTGATCTTGAGAAGATGGGGATAAAAGTACTTTTCGGTTCTGATTCCAAGTGTATGCATTAGCCCTCTCAAAAAGTCCTACCAGGTTTTATTTTATGATGATTTTTATAATTTATAAATTAAATCATAAATGACATTTTTGCTCTGCATATTTTGCTATAAGATTTATGCTATGCATAAAAAGCTAGTAAGACAATGATTTTAAGATGTTTTGGTAATAGGTATTTATGTTACTTGGAACCTTGGAACATAAATTTAGATTATATTTTATTTCCCATAAACTCTTAATATTAGTTCAGAGTTTATTCAGCATTGATGCATATAAATGAGGCACTATAAGAGAAAACACTAAAAATCCCTAGCTTTTTAAAGCACTTTTGATGTGCTTGTCTGTTCAAAAAGGCTCTTCACCTAATTTAATTTCTTAGTCCCCCACAACACTCCCATGAGGTGGCTATTACTAATCTCATATTGAAGATGGTGAAACTGAAACACAGATTATGTAACTCAGCCAAGTCCACACAGCCCAGCTAGGATGCCAGTAGCCAAGTGCCAGAACTTAGTGCTGTTTGACTACTGTACTTGCCATGAAGATGAGACACACTGCCTCCAGGGGGCTTAGTTCTCAGGTGAGCGGCTTTCTGTAAGGCAGATAAGTCAGTTCTTTCTAAATCCTTGTAACAATAATTATTGAAGAAAAATTAATAATACCAAATTTGTCAAATCAGTTCCTGATGTGAAAGCCCATGATAAAAGTGAACTGTCATGAGCTTTAGTCAAAACTGTAGATTAAAGTTTTTCTTTATGTGTTTTAGTTTTCGTATTATAATAACCTGTAGGAAAAGTTGTTGAATGCTTTTATTAGTCATTTTTGTAGGTAATTTTCACCAATATTCTCATTTGTTACAACTTAATTTCTGCATATCTAATTTATCACTATTTTAAGTAGAAACTTGAACTTTGAAGCATAAGAGTATATATAAACTGAATTGTAAGAAGGACTGTGGTTAACGAGGTAGTTGTGTCTGTGTGTAAGCATTCATGTGTATATATTGTATATGTGTAGATGTTTCCCTCTTCAGAGGACAACTCATCATTTTTAAGAATCAGGTTTAAATAATAGTTTTAATACAACTTTGATGAAAAAATTCTGTATTGTTACGAAGATCTCAAATGGAATTTATTATAATTAATGTTGACTTATCATTTCACCTTTTTTAAGAGGTATGATATTTCTTTGTGTACCTCTTTTAGACAAGTAGTTTTTTCTGTGCATCTCCTGTGTATAACACATACTCAGATGCTTGATTTGCTTTCATGCCCGGCCGCATTCTGATTTTCCTAGCATGGGGAGGGTGCCTGATTGGCAATTCTGTCTTGTGATCTGGCATGGCCCTGTTTGTAGTGCTGATTGCAGAGGTTGACTTGCTAAAAATTGACAAATAAGCTCAAAACATTATTAGTTACAGAGTTCCTTGCTTTTTATGTTTTATATTTTATTAAATATCTTTGCATATGTTTAAAATATGTGCACGTACATAATGGAATCATCTTTCAGGGGTCGCACTGTCAAGTCGCACCAGTTGCTCCATTGGCTTTTCTAGATCAGTGTTTTAACCAGAGTTTGACTAGAATTTGAAGTTCAGCATTATTCCACAACCCCTGTGCATTTCTTCTTGCTATTTCCATAACTTACGCTCTGTTTCCTTTCTGGTGTTTTGAGTGTCAATTTTGTAAAAGTTTTAATCTCATCCAGAGATGGCATTTTTTACTGTATATTTGATTATGAAGGTATTCACCTTATTGAACAGATGGCCTGGCATAGATAAGTAGGAAGTAATTGTGGGGATTAGAAACTACAGAATTTTGTTAGTCCTGCTAAATGCAGCTTGCAGTGCAGCCTCTGAACAACTTTGCTAAGTCCTCTCCAGGGATCTTCTTCTGCATCTCCCCGTGCTGACTTGTCTCTCCTCTGTCTGTTCAGCAGTGGGAGACGTTTAGTGAACGCTCTTCAAGCTCACAAACTCTGACCCAATTTGATTCTAACATTGCACCAGCTGATCCTGTAAGTCAATCACTTAGCTTGCTTGTTTGAAATTAATTTATTAACCCAATTTCCATCATTATGGTTTTTAGCTGACATGCATGATTCAGTATAGTGCTTAGAGGGAAATTTGACAGGCCTTTTGATTTTTGTGTGCTCAATAGTGAAAGAACATTTTTGTCATTCTTTTTATTTTGTAGTTATTTTGGTGAGAAAAACTTTGTTTAAAACCTGGTACATGTGTCTGTAAGGAGTATTTTGTGACAGTCGATTTGGTCAGCCATGTTACATCTGCTAAGTATATGTTTTATTAAACACATACTGCTTGTTTCAGTGCAGCAACCTTACATAAAATTTTATTTGTATGTTTATGCATCATGTAATTTGTACTCTGTAAATATTTATGCAGTGTCATTTTAAAAATAGTCACAATAATGTTCCTCTTGTTTAATTAGTGTGCTGAGTTCAGCACAACAGAAGCAAACTGATAGTTACAGGTTACTCCTGTGCAGTAGAGCCTTTGTCTTGTCTCCCTGTGATTTTTCTGTGTCACTTTAAAAAAAAAATGCTACAAAGTTCATGTCCTGATTTTTAAAATAAATTCTGTCTCATAGAGTTATACTCCACCAGTTTAATTTTAAGTTTCTTTTAGGGCCCCCCCCCCCAAGACAGGGTTTCTCTGTGTAGCCTTGGCTGTCCTGGACTCACTTTGTAGACCAGGCTGGCCTTGAACTCACAGAGATCTACCTGCATCTGCCTGCCTGAGTGCTGGGATTATAGGCATGTGTGCCTGGTTAGTATCTTTTGGTTTAGTTTTGAGACAGTTTCATGCAGCCCAAGCTAATCTTGAACTCTGTTCATGACTGGTAGAAAATATACCAGTATTGTTCCTCTCATATCTTAGAAATAAAGTCCAGGTTAATGAGTGCCAACTCTGCTGTTAAACGCTTTATAGCTCAGCAGGGAATGGAGACACATGGCTGTACTCCTTAGCACTTCGACACTTGTGACCAGTGATTCTAGGCTACATTAAGGGACTGTCTCAGTAAATCAGGAAAAAGCCCAAACTTTTTATATAACTCAGTACTTTCCATTACTTTCCATTACTCAAAGAGTGGCTTGAGACTTTGAGAAAAGAAGAGATTTTCATTGAGATTTTAAACTTGAATTTATTGATGTCTGAATTTGGTCGAATTAGGTGATACTGTTAAATACTTATCTGTCTATAATATTCTTTCTTTTATGATAGTACAATTAAATCTTTGTTGTCCAACAGATTCCCATTCTCTCTTTAGATTCCCAAGCAGAACATTCTACTTTCAGTTAATTTGGCCTCTTATATTAGTGTCTTATACTTCATTTAATAACTGAGTATTTCCTTTCCATAGACCACAGCCTGTAGCCATAATCTCAAATGACCCTTTACAAGGCTTGTATAAACAAGGATTACAATTAAGTGAATCAGAGCATGTTCAGACAGAATCACCATGGAAGGGTGAAAACAAAAACCAACAGAAACACACTACTGTTCTAATAGAAATTTCACATTTTTATGGTAGAGAATGTTTAATAGAGTGGTTTTAAAAAAATAAACCTTTCATAGTTTTTCGTTGAGTAAAGTTCAGTGAAAGCTTCCAACTGCTCTAATGGCACTTGACACCTGTGCATGGTGTTACACGTTTTACACAGGGCAGCGGCTTCACAGGCACATTGAGATGGCAACAAATTAGCCTGTCAGGGTTCTAGTGAAATTGAAGTTCTGGTAGCTCATTTCCATAAACTTGTCTTCTTTTCTTGAATGATTTATCAAATTAGTGGTGTCCAGTATAATATGCTTCTAAGATGAATATGATCAACACACCAACGAAATTCTAGCCTGATGCTTCTTTGTCCTGATTTATACCTGTTCCTGGATGCTATAGAACTGAGGAGTTCAGCACATAAAAAGAGTTAGCTTGAGCAGCTGTTAGGGCCAGCCAACTTATCTGATTAGAAGATGCCAGAAGCAACATTTCAGTCTTAAACCATCATACTGGTTGTGATAATTATCATGGTATATAGCTGGGCAAAACAATAGGCAAAGGAAGGATTTTTGCTAATTCAACCCATGGCGTTTGGGGAAGTTTTGGACAAAATTTAAATTATTTGTGTGATGAATTTTTTTTTTTAAGCGTAAGGACCCTTTTATCATTTAAGAGGAAAACAGCAGAGCCAGAAGCAAGCTGTAACTCAGTGGTTCTCAATCTTCTTAATGCTACAACCTTTTAATATAGTTCCTTGTGTGTGGTGACAACCAGCCATAAAGTTATTTTCATTGCTACTTCATTACTGTAATTTCGCTACTGTTTTGAATTGTAATGTAAATATCTGTACTTTATTATGGTCTAGGCAACCCCTGTGAAAAGTCATTCAACCCTCAGGTTGAGAACTGCTCCTATAACTCTTGGTAGCAGTTAGAAAGAAGGAGATGGAGAAGAGGAAGAGTAAAGCCATTTCTATAAGATAGGGTCTAAAAAGCTGGCAGGTTCTGCAGTGGAAGCTGGCAAGCAGCTGTATGGTAGGAGGGGAGGAGACTTCAGAACAAAGTGAATAGTTTCTACCCGTCTATATCAAGGATGCCCAGACGTTGGCCAGTAACTGAGAGTAAAAGAGAAAGCAGAAAAAGGAAAAGTTAAACTTTTATGAAAAGTGGACAGGCTGATGCATGAGGCTCTGTACATAGTATGTCCTGATTGAAAGTGGGAGTTCACAAAAGTAGATAAAGGCCTTTCTTGCAAGCAGAGGGTATCATGAGCAGGATAAGTTCTGTGCAGTGACAGCATATGGTACTCATATGTGTTGGGGGAGGGTGGGGATTAAGGAATATAGTTGAACCTAAATGGAGATGTTTTCGCAGACTAGACTAAAGAGATCAGCTTCACTTGGTTATCAGCTGGATGCTAGCACTGAGTGCCAGGATAAGATAGGCAAGAAAGGGCAGCTGTGGAAGAGGACTCAGCTAAGACTGTGAAGAAGTGATGGGTCAAAGGGATAGTGAGCTCTTAGCTCTAGAAGGGAAAGCAGGCAGGGGTGGATTAGATTGAAAGGAGAAATGGGATGGAGAGCATGTACAGGATGAAGAGATGAGCATAATTATGACAGTATAAAAGAATTCTGAAATTTATTAGTTAGGCACCCAAATACATGGTACAGATGTGCAATTGAACGTGCCTTTTGAGTAATTTGAATAGGTAGAAGAAAGTGAACAGAACCTGCCTGCTACTGGTTTTTGATAGTGGTGTGATGGGTTTTATGTTTTTTGATTTGGGGACAATAGATGAGAGCAGAGAGAAAGCATGCCCTTTTATTCAAGATACTTTTACATATTAAAATGAAAGCTTCCTGTCCAGCTGCACAAGTCACAAACATAGTAATACAATAATTTGAGGGTAGGCCTGGTCATCCATGTCAGGCTTATCAGTGTTTTGTTGTCTTTTGCGGGCAACAGAACTCCTGGATTAAAGCCTTTATAGGCCATCAGTAGCCAGTAGTTATGTATTCCTGAAAGCTAATTGGCTGGCACAGACTTAGGATGCCTTTTGACAATTAAAGCTTAGATTTTTTTATTACATATTTTGTGTGTAAATAAAAATTTGTAATAAAATAATTAAATAAATAAATAATGAAATGAAATAAAAGCCAATACAATTATCTGGGCATGGTGGCTCACACCTTTAGTCCTAGCACTTGGGAGTTTGAGGCCACTCTGGTCTATATAGAAAGTTCCAGGCCTGCCTGTCAGGACTACATGATGAGACTGTGGTGTATGTTTTATTTTTGTATTGTTTTAAAGGTAATGAAAGATTTATCATTTGAAAAATATAATAAATTTAATGTTTTAGCTAATAACGAGCATATGAAGGGGGCTAGAGAGAAGGCTCAGTATTTAAGAGCTCATTCTGCTCTTGCAGAAGACAAAAATTTGGTTCCTATCATCTAAGTTAGGCAACTTTAGGGGATCTGATCCCTCTGGCTTCATGCACATACCCACATAAGATATAAGTCTTGCTTACTTTTCTGTTACTGTGACAAAGCACCAAAAGCAAGACAATTGATAAAAGAACATTTTATTGAACTTACAGTTTTAGGGTTTACAGTCCACAATGGTGGAGCAAAGACATAGCAGTAAGTATTCAAACATATGAGCCTATGGGGACATTCTCACTCAAAACCACCACAATACACAATTAAGAATAAAAATAAATTCTTAAAACATGAAGCGAAAATCACAGAAATAAAGTTAAAAGTGGAAAATCACTTTAGAGAGGAATAAATAACCCTTGTTAGCAATTAATATACTAATAATTAGAATTATACAATTAAAAATCTCATGCAGTGAATGTACTGAAAATTCTGTATCCAAGACAGCAGTTTGTGCAGAATGGATGAGAGGATACCACATGTAAATGTCTAAATTTGGAACAGGGAAGTATATAGTTTGTAAAAGCACAACAAGCACAAACTATTTTAATGGTTAAGTAGACTAAATTAGATTTAATTAGTTACCAAAGCTAAGTATATTAATCACATGCTGGAAAATGATATAAAATGTATGTTTAAAAGCTGTAGCATTTAGAAACAAACAAACATAAAAGATATGTGCACACAGAAACAAGGAAGAAGTACAGACATGCTCAAATCATCAGAAAATGCAACTAACTATAGTGAGAAGCCACCAATACTGACCAGGTTAGCGAAAATAAAACTATGACAATGCAAAAATAATTTTTTGAACTAAGATAACATTACTAATAAAGCCGTATTTTATAATTGTAAGTATGACCATGTCTTAAATGTATAATTTTAAATAATCTTTGAAAAATACAAGAAAAATAAAAACTTTCATCTATATATAACACTGATGTTTTAACTATAGTTTTAGAGGGACAGGGAAATGGTGGTTCAAGTTTATTGGTTCTATACATGGATTCTGGTTAAGTTCTCCACGAATAGTGTGTTTTGAGGCACATGTGCACAGATGTGGAGATCAGAGAATAATATTAGTGAGCCCATTCTCTTCTCCCCCTGTGTGGGTGGCAGGGATGTAACATATCATAGGTTAGGCAGAAAGTTCCTTTACTGGCTGAGCCATCGCACAGGCTCCCGTTAAATTCTCACTGGAATAGGAACAGGAAATTGCTCTAAATTATTTTGTCCATGTAATAGCTATAACAAATTTGTTGTGAACTGTTTAAGTTTTGAGATGTTTAGAGTAAGCCAATGAAGCCTGTTCACTCGGATTTATCACCAGAGCAGTGTTGATTATAAGCTGAAGGTCAGTGACCTGCACTACACTTCAGTGCATTACTAGCTATCACCTGTAAGGAGCTTAGGTTCCCATGAGCTGATTCCTTCCTCATAGGAGGAGCCACGTCCTCCTCACGTGGCTTTCAGCTCCTCTGAAGCCAGGGTTTTGATCTGGTTCTGGCTGCTCCCCAGAGGGTCCCAGCCACAGAGCTAGGTTCCTTCCTATGGACTTCTTTCTGCCTTTCTTCTGGTTCTAGGAAACTTCTTATCTTAGCCTTTACTCCTTCCTTCATTTCTCCTAGAAGCCACTACCATCAGCTGTTTTACTGCTCAAAAATTGCCTCTCAGGAACCGTAGACAGATTTGATGTGTTACAGCCGTAAAATATTGCCATATTAGTGTGGGGGTCTTTCTAGATCCTTTAAAGTCCTGTATTCTTGTGAGGATAGGAAGCATTTGTCATACCTACAATTGCAGTAGACCAGACTTCTAGTTATTTTGTTTTATAGGTTAAAGAAAACAAAATTTCCTTGAGCAGTTTAGTAAAAACAATTTTCAGTCTGCCACTTAGCTTTTGAGTTCTCATGAAATATTTTAATTTATCTCAGAGGTTAACATTTATATAATCTCGTTAGATTATTACAGTTTGTTTTCAAATATTGTTTTGAACTATGTTTTTAATAAGTGGATTTCAAAAATTCTTTAATCATTCATTTTAAATTATGAAATCAAATTATTCATCATGTAAACTTGATTTTTTTAAATTGAGCTTTTAATTTTTAAACACGACTCATTTGCATTACTGTGAATGAGAAAAATGTATGCAGGAGTTTTTCATGTTGTTAGTCTTCAGGATTCCATAATTCCTAATGCAAAAAATCTGTATTTACTTCATTTGTCTCTAGGACACTGCTATTGTCCATCCAGTTCCCATTCGTATGACTCCGAGCAAAATCCATATGCAGGAAATGGAACTGAAAAGAACGAGCAGTGGTAAGGAAGTTGCCATCAGGCTGTTTTAGCTTGCTGCTAGCATTTGAAGGTTTTAGTTTCTTTCATAAATTATGATTTTTTTTTTTTTAATGAGGCAGAGCCCCACATTATAGCCCTGGCTGACCTGAAACTCGCTTTGTAGACCAGGACCATACCTGAGTTCACAGAGATCTGCCTGCCTCTACCTTCAGAATCCTGGGAGTGAAGGCCTATACCCACTTCTGACTAGCAGTTGCTTATTTTCCTTTTAGCCTAATAGTTCTCTACAATTGTTTGTACCCTCAAGGCACAGTTTTAAAAAGGAAACATCAAAGTTTTAAAAAGGAAATTGTTCTAAGTTATAAAGCTTTAAAATGGGGATGTTTAGGGGAAAGATTTTACAAAATAAGGTCATTTGAAAATGAGATACTTCTGGTATTCTGGAGTCAGGTCAGAAGAGGCCATTGGATGCCATGTAACTTAAGTTATAGATGGTTGTAGCAGCCATGTGGGTTCTTGCTGTGTAACCCAGGCTGGCCTCAAACCTTGATCTTCCTGCCTTAGCCTCTCAACTGCTGCAGTGCAGGTGTGCAGCACCATTTCCAGCGTAGTCAGTTTCTCAGAGGCAAATATATTGTCTAAGTCAGCATTGACATCGTCTATAGCCCAGATTTTGGGTGGTTTGTTACCAAATAAATTATCTCCTATTGTGGAAGATAACAAAAATTTCTATAAACAACTTTATATTCAGTTTTATTAAAAATATTGTGTTGTTTTATATGATACTTTCATAATTTCTAGACAAAGTCTCATATTGTAATTCAATCTTTTATGTATTTTATCAATGAAATGTCTGTCTCTTGTATTGTTACCTCCTAATTCTCTATTAGATCATACTAATCCCACCAGCCCATTACTTGTGAAACCATCTGACCTTTCAGAAGAAAATAAAATCAATTCATCAGTAAAATTTCCTTCTGGAAATACAGTAGGTAAGTGAAAAATATATCACTCATTTGAGTTTGTTAAATAAATTTAAAGTCTGGGGAAATGAAATCCGTATCTGTGTTCACTGCATTAAATAGGGGACTATAACTCTTCAAAACCTGTTGCCCTGTGTGTGGTGAATATTGAACCTTGTCATTGTCACCTTCTTCAAGGCAGGTTACCTGTTGGTCATCACTCTGTTTGTTACATGGGCTCTTCCCCTGATGTTTCTTTCTCTGTTTCTCACAAAACTTTGGGGATGTATTCATTGATTCAGCATGCTAATTGGATACTGTGTGCCAGGTTCCAATCTAGGGAGTGGGATTTAGCAGTAAACAAGTCTTTGTGTGTATTGAGTTTTATAAGGGTGATTTTGGTTGGATGGGTTAACTCTTATGTGAAAAGAAAGCTAATTTCATGGCTAGAACTTAAAAGTTGGAAAGAGGAATAAGAGTGTCATTTTAAATGAGAACAAAGAAGGCTTTATTAAAAGCTAACGTTTGTATTAAAATTTGAAGGAGATGAGTGACAGCTCTGTGACTTTTGGGAAAGAGATTACTAAAACACAGGCAATAGCAAGTGTGCAGCCCTTAGGTAGGAAGCTTGGGTCTACAGGCATTAGAATTGAGTCAGGTGGTAAGTAGAGGTAACAAGTGAGAGAACAGTAGAGGGAATATGTAACACTTTTCACTCTTAGTAAGTGGTGTGAAAAGTCATTAGAGAGTTTTTCATGGAGGAGTGTCAGGGGACCCGCCCTTCCTTTTTAAAATATCATTCTGTCAGTCCAAAAGCAAGCAAGCACTGAAATAGGAGATAGTGTGATAATCCAGTTACAAGAAGATGGTGGTTTTGGCTAGAGTGAGAGTGGTACAGGTGGTTAGTGGCCAGATTTGGGACTGTACTTTGTAACCTCTGTAGGAAAAGACTAGTCAGTAGAGGGCTTGCTTACCTCTATGGCACAGCATTGGAGAACAGAATCAAGGGTTGCCTCTGTAGCTAAGGGAGAGCAGAAGAGCTACAGTAGCAAAGAAAGCTCCTTTTATCCAGACACAGTGCCACCATTTCAAGAAACAAGCTTCCTGTTCTTAAACTGTTTCTAATCTCTTATGTGAAAGTAGCTGTTTTCCACTACATAACAACTTATACCTACTATACAAATAAGAAAATGATTATTCACATTCTCAATGTCTACAGTTAACCATTTTATTGTCTACTTTAAATCATATTTTGTAAACAGAGTGAACAACAGTAATCTCAAAATCCAAAATAGGAAATACTTCAGAATCCCAAACTTTTTGGGTATCGAAATGACATCACACCTGAGCTCTTGACAGATTGCAGTAAAAACAAAGTCACACTGCAAATATGGCTGTGCACATGATGGTAGATATGGAATGGGTATATATTTAGACTTGGCTCTGCTTTCTGGGTAACTCATGTCTATGCAAATACTTTAAGTCTGAGGAGGGGAGTAGAAACCAGAAGCATTTTGGTCCCAAAGCTTTTCATATGAGAGATATTCAGCCTATAGTTACATTTGTGTTTGAGAAGGAATTGTGATATAGATATAGATGATTTTTGTGATTCTGTTTCATTAAGTATTTTACCTAGATTATAACTTACTGTGTCTATGCATGATGTCTTTGATTTTTACAGTTGGTAACACTGGAATGAGCTGTTAGCCTATTCAGCACTTTTTGAATGTCTATGATTTTGAAGCAGTGAAGCAATCTGTTATGTACATTTGTGGTAGAGAGAGTAGAAAGCAAAGAAATGAGTGTTATTAACTAGGAAGTATCTGTTTACCAGCAGATGGGTACAGTAGTTCAGACTCTTTCCCTTCTGACCCGGAGCAGATTGGGAGCAATGTAACTCGTCAAAGGTCAGTATTTATATCAAGAAAACTGTTAAACTCGCCTTATTCACTTTAATAGTTAAAGTTACTTAGGGCCAAGCACAAATTATTTGCTCTCTGAAAGCTGTTAAATATATATTAGGTTATGTAAAAGACAAATATTTTGGTTCTACTTGTTAAAAAATAAAAAGGAACCGTATTGTTAGTGTTGTTTCATTTTATTTGTTTTATGAAGGGTCTAAAAAGAGCTAATAACTTCTTGGAAGTAGATATTAACACAGTCCTTTGGTGTCAGTAGAAAAGTGAAAGTCTGCATGTCTGCATGATGATAGCATGCAAGTCTGCGGCAAGTACAAACAAAACTTTGTTTTAAACACTCAAAAGCACAGCCCAACAGGAGCTACCTGCTCACCCTGTAGCTTTATAGGCACAAACAATTCATGGCATAAGCAAAGGATAGATGGAGGAGGTTTGTCTGCATGAACCTTACCATCTGCTCAAACATAAAATAGAAGCATTTTTTTATTTCTCACATTTTACATATAGTGAAAATTCTTTTGCTGTATGCCTCTTAGAGAGAATTGAACACCCTTCTCCCAGATTTCCAAGGAACTAAGAAAGTCAGAAGACCAGGTTTCCTTTCTTTGATGTGTGGAGTTCTTCTGTATTTCTTAGATTTCCAGTTATTTTGGAGTTCGTATGTGAAGATCTGTTTTCCAGAATTGTGGAGTGCCTTTTCAGAATAAAAGACTCCCTGGAGCTAGCGTAGTGACCTCCAAGTGGGTAGTTCTAGTTACATCACATAAGTATCTCATAGTATAGCCAGATTCTGTCCCAGCTTACCACATTTGAGTTCGAGCTGTTGAAAAGTAACCATGTAGAGATTCTCTTCTGAAAAATAGCTCTTCAGGCTAGTGTTGCCTTCAGTTGAATGAGAAGCATCACTGATCTGTGGTCTTGATGAGGTCGCGTAGACAGTAACTTCAGAGCTTTACAAGTTTGTTAATGACTTTATAAAGTGTTATTTGGCACATCAAGTAACTGTTTCAGACACAGCATAGATAGTGCTGCTTTTATTATTTGTAATACCTTCATACATACTGCCTGAAAAAGTGTCATCCTAATTAGGTCCTTGGCTGTTCAGCCAAGTATGAATGCTTAAAAAGGGTCAAGCTCCAGTGTTAACATAACCAGTTGTGACTGGTGAATTTTGCAGGTCTCATTCAGGAACGTCACCTGATAGCACTGCGCCACCACCTCCCCCTCCAAGGCCACAGCCCTCTCATTCTAGATCATCATCCTTAGATATGAATCGGACCTTTGCAGTTACCACAGGTAGGGAGGGTTAGCGAATCATAATAGTCATTAATTATATTAATATACATTGTTTTAAAGTTAATCCAAGGTTCAACTTTTTTTTTTTTTTTGGTTTCTCGTAATATGTCTTTTAGTTTTTTTAGATTTAAGAAAAATGTAAATGTGGATTAAAGACATCAAATGATTCCAATGTTCAGGAGGTAGAGGCAGTCGGATCTCTGAATTCAAGGACAGCCAGGACAGTTCAAGGTCAACTACAGACCTCATTCCAGGCTAGCCAAAGCTATGCAAGGACCATATCTTGGGAAAGATAAAATATAAAATAAAATAGGAAGGAAAATATCAAATAAAAAAGTTTTTTAAAGTGGGGAGAATGTTGTTTCCTAATGACTAAGGTGTGCTTGTTAAATAAATAAATGAGCGAAGTTGAGATGCCACATAAAAACTTAATGATGTGATTACGTCAGTGATGTGGGACACTGATAAGTCTTAATTTACTAATAGAAAAGCCATGACTCCAAGCTTTTCATGTTTATACAACTATAGTGATTGAAATCAAAATGCTAGAGCAGAGATGGTGTTTTATTCAGTATGATTAAAAGTTGTAATAGTGAGGGAAATGTAAGTAATCAACAGATTATTGGAACTTTGAGCCAATATGGAAGTATTAAAATTGTTCACTTTCATCTGGTACCTAAAGAATAATGAGAAATACGGAAGAGAAAACCAAGAACAGGCTACTGTTAGGGAAATAGACAGGTGTTTGTTGGCAGCAGTCCCTCATGTAGCGGAGGTGAGCAGAGGAATAAGGTCTGAAGAGAGGCCATGAAATTGGACCAGTAGGCCCCATGTAGAGCTTTTGGTTTGGGTTTTGTTTTAACACAATCTTATGTGGCCCCAGCTATCCTCAAACTCAGTATTGTTGCCAAAGTTTCTTTTGAACTAACTTCTCATCCCCTTGACTCTACCACCCAAGTTCTAGAATTATAGGTGTGAGACACCGTCTCTCCTAGATCAAACCCAGAGCTTCAGCCATGATAGGCAACTGCTCTACCAGTGAGCTACAGCTTCAGCCCCATTTAGAGCATTTTACAAGATAATAATTGCCCTTGAAACATTACCAAGTGCTCTTAGAAGTGTTTTATCATGTGGTCATTTACCTGTTTCTTCTACAGTAAAATAATTACGTAATCACTAAAGTGGTTCATATATTCTCACAGGCCAACAACAAACTGGAGTTGTTGCCCATCCTCCTGCAGTGCCTCCCAGACCTCAGCCCTCACAGGTAATTTTCCAGTATTCTGGTTTAAAATGTCAGTTATTGGAGTCCTTGGGATGAGTTTGTGCCTTAGACCCTTTGTTCTATTTATAAATATCTCTGAGGTTGGCACTTAAGTCAGTATATTTTAGAAGGTAAGGATTTCAATAATTTGGGTTACTAAGAAACAAATAATGCTGTCCTAAAGGGTTCAGCAGAAGAACAGTAAGCTAGGAGATGGAGATGTCTAATAATGTCCTGGGTCCAGCACTGACTCATAGACAGAATCCACTGTAGCTCCCTGGATAGTTGCATCCTTTCTGAGACAGAACTGAAGTGCTGCAGTAGACATATTTATAGAATACTTGGGGACAGCCTTGGTGGTTGGTAAAAGTTAAAGAGCGTATTGAGAAGATACAAGTGAAATGAAAGAATTAAGAACCAGAAGACAAAGAGTTACTTGCTGCAGAAAGGGCATTCCAAAGAAAAAGAATGGCATCCACAGAGACATAGAGTAGCTTGGCATCTTAGGCTTATAGAAAGCCAAGTTCAATGCAGATTGATGATTGTGAACAAACATCTGAGATATTTGCTATCATGTCCTACCATATGAAGAAGGCCACACTGTGATGCTGGTGATGCTAATAAAATGCTTGTTCCTTTGTTCTAACCCATTGTACAGGCACCCGGTCCCTCTGTGCATCGCCCAGTGGATGCTGATGGTCTAATAAGTCACACTAGTACCTCACCTCAGCAGATACCAGAACAACCAAATTTTGCAGATTTCAGCCAGTTTGAAGTATTTGCTGCATCAAATGTCTCTGAAGAGCAAGACAATGAAGCCGAGAAACATCCTGAGGTCTTGCCAGTGAGTGTTCTAGAGTTCACCTAATTTGTGACAGTCTTCTCCCATATAGTGTAAAGAGGACTCTTGAAAAAGCAGATTAAATTAGCAGAGGCAGCAGTGAGTAAAACACCTGCTGCTGCCTCTTTTGGGGGATATGTATTCCCTTGATTTATACTGCTCAGCTACTTTATTGGCCTCTAACATCTGATAGTTGCAGGACAATATTTAGCAAGATTCAGATGTTAGGCCCAGGGGTGGGTGTGACAACACACGTGTCCTTCATGCTACTCTGGGAAGTTAGTGTGAATTGATGAAGATGTCCATAGAATAAGAAAGAGACCATGGTTACAAAATCTGCACACTTCAGCAGCACACACACGCACACTGTCAAAAACAATACCATGCTAAAACTTAGTCTTCATACACTCTTTCAGGAAAGCTTAGTTTTTGTGGTAAGAAATCTAATGGCATTGGCTGTACAAATCTCTGATTTACATTTTTGAAAATGTGTATATGGAGTTGGAAGGAGAAAAGTAATATTGACATCCCCATCCTCATTGCTTCAGCTGTTGCAACATGTTAATCTGACCGGCATCACCTAAAGGTTTCATGGGTCTGACCCACAGGGAAGCTCTTATTGGCAAACCCTAAGCTCCCCTGCCTACTAGGGGAGTTGACTATATGTAGAAAGGCTGTCATGGCCTTGGGGCAGAAGTGAATGTGCCAGGGGACTATCATTTCTTTCCTCTGTGACTTCGCAGTCACCGACCTCTCAGCAGCCAGCTGGAGGTTCTGTGCCACAGCTGCATCTCTTCTCTTTCCTGCTCTCAGCTATTGTTCTCCAACTTCAGTGCTAGAGAAATTCATCTGGCAGGGTGTCTCAGACTCACCTCAGATTTTCTATCAGAATGGACAGCTCCTAACATCTTACTCTCTTACATGTTCTGTGCATAACTACATAGAATTATATAGTAATGAGATACTACATTCATCCCTAGGCTGAAAAAGCTTCTGACCCCGCAAGCTCTCTTCGGGTCGCCCAAACAGACAGTAAAATTGAAGAAAAGACAGCTGCTAATGTTCCTGCCAATGTGGTATGAAAAGTCTTTTTATAATGTGGACAGTTTTGTGTGTGTAAGGCTCTGCCAAGATGCCTGTTAGAAATAACAATAGCTAAGCCAGGTGTGGTCGACATGCACATCTTCAGTCCAGCCCCAAGGAGGCTGAAGCAAGAGGGTCACGAGCCCTGCCTGGGCTATGTGGTGATAAGCATTCACTCCTGTTTTTCCTTAACTGTTGCCACAGATACATAAATTATTTTAAAATAAGATGAGTAACCTCCTTTTTTAATAGCAAGTGGCTTTAAAAAGGCAGTTGGTGTTAGCAAAATGCTAATTAGGCATAACTATCACTCAGAATGCTCATTTCTCTTATCTTTTAGAGCAAAGGCACAACACCTCTGGCTCCACCACCAAAGCCTGTTCGAAGAAGGTTGAAATCAGAAGATGAATTACGGCCAGATGTCGATGAGCATACACAGAAGACAGGTGTCTTAGCTGCTGTTCTTGCATCACAGCCTTCAATTCCCAGGTAATCTAAGTTATTCCTCAGTACATTTAATTATTAACAATAAAAGCACAATAAAAATATCAGACAGAAAGAAACAGGCTAGTTCTTTAGTTAAACAGAAGTTCTTAGTTGAAACCCAGGCCCCATGTGGTGGAAGGAGAGAAGCAGCTTCACAAGTTGTCCCCTGGCTTCCATACTCATGCCATGCATGTGGAGGTCAGCAGGCTACTTTTGGGAGTTGGAGCTCCTTTCATGTTGGTTCTGGGGATCAGACTGGGGTCATCATGTCTGTGTGGCAAGTGAGTGCCCTTACTACCTGGACCTTCATGCTGGCCCAGCTTTTACATTTCTAAGAAAAGAGAAAGAAAAAAATGCACATAGCAGGAATAGTATGGCCACAAAGCTGAGAAGATTCATTGCCTGGCTGTTATAGAAAGAGCCTATAAGTGCTTGGTCCAAACTAAGCACTTCATGAATTTGACAGAATAATTGCAGTAATGAAAATAACAGCTGTGATCGTGGGCTTCAGAAGCTTATATCTTCTTGGTTACCATTGAAACAGCAAGCGACATTGAGCTCTGCTAAGAAGTTTCTTTTCTGTGCTTGAAAGTCAGGGCAGAAAAAGGTTAATGACAGGAAAGAAATGAAGGGTGTTTTTGCTCCTGTGTCTTCTCAGATCTGTGGGAAAAGACAAGAAGGCTATCCAGGCATCGATTAGACGGAATAAGGAAACAAACACTGTTCTGGCCAGGCTGAATAGTGAATTGCAACAACAATTAAAGGTAATGTCATTTCTGAATCTTAGTTTCATTAATGCTGCACATCTCAGTTTTGGGGAAATTGAAGCTGATCCAACAGCTCTTGCCAATATGTGAAACTTTGTTGAAGAAGAAGCTTGTTGTAGCTAAAATGTTGTGTAATCCATTGAATCTTTTGATACTAAAGGAATTTCTCAACAGAATTCTAGTGTATGTACATTATTTTATCCTGCATATATAAGACATCACTATTCCTATAACTTTGCTAACTTCATGAAGAAATTTGGAGAAGAAAAGTGGACTTGATGCAATTGTGCTGTTATCTGTTTATCTTTTGATTAAAGACAACTCAGATTCAGTAATAGGAACTTAAACCAGTCTAATTAAGACGAAGAGTGAGAACACTGAAATCATCTTGTGTGTGAAAAAAAGAAGGCAAACCTTAAGTCAGAGTAAAGTTTCATGGGCCAAAGAGGTAGGTTAGCCAGGGAAAGTGCTTGCCCTGAAATCTTGGTCACCTGAGTTCAAGGCGAGAACTGACTCCCGACGGTTCTCTAGCCTCTCCATACAGGCTGTGGCATGTGTGCGTACACACATACAGTCTCTCTCTTTCTCTCTTCCCCCACTCTCTTTCTGTTTATTACTGTTAATATTAATAACAATGATAATTTGAAAGACTTGAATGCAAAATAAATCTTTTTTTTTTAATTTTATTTTTATTAATTATACTTTCTTCACTTTGTATCCCCCTATAAGCCCCTACCTCCTCCCCTCCCGATCCCACTCTTCCACCTCCTTCTTCAAGCATGCCCCTCCCCAAGTCCACTGATAGGGGAGGTCCTCCTCTCCTTCCTTCTGGTGCATGGAATCTTATGTAAGAAGTGGGAAATAGTAAAATCTGGAGAGGACAGGAACTCCACAAGGAGAGCAACAGAACCAGAAATTTGAACACGGGGGTCTTCCAAGAGACTCATACTCCAACCAAGGACCATGCGTGAAGATAACCTAGAACCCCTGTACAGATGTAGCCCATGGCAGTTTAGTGTCCAAGTGGGTTCCATAGTAATGAGAAGAGGGACTGCCTCTGACATAATCTGATTGGCCTGTTCTTTGATCACCTCCCCCTGAGGGGGGAACAGCCTTACCAGGCCACAGAAGATGACAATGCAGCCACTCCTGATGAGATCTGATAGACTAAAATCTTTTCTTTGTAGAACTGAATTTCATAATGAGATCTTGGATCAGGTACCACCACCAGAAGAAAGAATTCATGCTAACAAATTCATACACATTTAAGACTTTATTAAAAATATTTGTAATAATACCCGCTACAATTACTGGCTTTTCTAACAATTAACCTAAAAATACTTTTTTACCTGGCTCTGTCATGAGAAATGACTTAGATTTAGTAAGATCATGTTTTTCTATTACGATTATATAAATTGCCTTTCTAAAGTGAAATATATTTACAAATAAATTATGTATAAATCACTGTCTCTTTTTCTTGACAAATACAGTTGTAATCATAAAACAGAACTAGTGTCAGTTTTCTATCTACTTTAAATGTAACTTGGACTTTGCATCTTTTTCAGGATGTTCTTGAGGAGAGAATTTCCCTGGAAGTTCAACTGGAACAACTCCGACCGTTCTCTCACCTCTAAGCCAATTGCCGTTAACTGTGAACATGCCCATTTTTAAGCAGTTTTGGGTTCAGAGCCTATTTGGAAACCCAAACATTCAGCTCACTGCTTAATTGAACATTAAATTTTATGATTCTGTTTTGCCCTCTATGTTCACCATTGTATTTAAGTATCTTTTATTTTTTAATTTCAATAAAAGGGTCAGGAGGACTTTTTCTGGAGGAAACATTGTGTTTGTTGGTGTCCCTCACTGTCACCTCCTCGAATTTATGTAGCCAAACCATCCCGAGACTGGATTTACAGAAGGGGGTTCACATTAAGCACAAACTCAAGAGATCTTTGTCAGCGTCTCTCTCTACAGAGTCTGTATTCTATAAAGGGTTTAAGATGAGCTCCTACTTGGTGTTTTATTTGAGAGCCCGATGTGTTTTCTCAAAAGCTACTTCCCTTCCTCAGGGCCTTAGTAAACATTCTTCAGAAATCTGGAAATACTGAAAACTTGTTTCATGTGACAACTCAGGGTCAGGGCCTATGTGTTTCTTGACCAATTTCACAGTGACTTGGGATTTTTCTGTCTGCTTATTTAAGAGTTTAATTCAGCAGGAATGGTTATGAACTATGAAGACAGCTTTTTCTTCATTGTCCTCTCGAGGTGAAGGGAAAGGATAAAACCAATACATAAAGAGTGGAAAGAGCCATTTGAAAGCCCTGCTTTTGCACGACTAAAGCGCTAACTGTCAAGCAGTTTTACAGTGGATGGGGCCCACTTCAGTTTGGTGAGTGCTTGTCTTGTTAGTAACAGGACCTGAGTGTAATCCACAGAATTCTGGTTAGTTGGTTGGTTGGTTGGCTGGCTGGTTGGTGTGGTCTTGTTTTTCAAGACAGAGTTTCTGTGTAGTCCTGGCTCTTCTGGATTTGCTTTGTAGACTAGGCTGGCCTTGAGCTTACAGAGATTTGACTGCTTCTGCCTCCCTGAGTGCTAGGATTAAAGGTGTGCACCACTATGACCAGCTTTTGTTGTGGTGTGTTTCTAAAACCAGGCATGGTGGTGTGCTTGTAATCCCACCAATGGGAGGCTAGACAGACAGGTCTCTCAGGTTCTCTGGTCAGTAAAAGACCCAGTCTTTTTTATTTTTATTTTTTTAAGGTAAAAGATGCCTGAGGAATGACACTCAAAGCTATCCTTTGTCTTCTACATACACTTGTTCAAGCACACACTGAAGTTTCACAAATAGCATTTTCAAGTAATGTTTTTCAGCTTCTAAGATATCAGTTCACATGAGACCTGGTTACTTAAGATTTCTAGGTTGCCATCAACTCTTTTCCATATATGTAGGTTTTGCTGTTAAACTCTCTGGAGTGTACCCGCCCCTGTCAGAATAATGTACTATCTTAAGGTTTGTTTTATAGCATATGATAGATACATTTAGGTAATATTTATCAGTTTGCAGTCACTGCTAACTACTAATAGATGTTCCTTTAATGGTTACTGTATAAGTCTTAAGCTTTATACAGAGCCATCATAATAGAAACAGAAGTGGAATTTTTGCTTTAATAATAAAATGAAATATTTAATTTGTATTTTAGCCAGGATTTATACTTTTAAGAATAAGAAATATTTTCAGTACTGAAATGTAAAAAAGTTCACAGTCCTACACTGTATCAGTGGACTTAATAACCACAACACATTATGAAAGAAAAAGGAGAGCAACAGCCTAATCCCAGTTACTGCGTCTAGCTTTCTCCAGTCACTTAACTATGCAAAAGGATACAGTTACTTAAGTAAATTTCATCACGAGCACTTTTTAGCTGGATTCCCATTATTTTTTTAAACTTTTTTTATTTACTTGCTTATTTACTGTTGAAACAAGGTATTTGTATCTCTGGCTGCCCTAGAATTTACAGAGATCTTCCTGCCTCTGCCTCCAGAGTGCTGGGATTAAAGACATGTAATACATGCCCAGCTACTTCTTGTAGTTTTTTTGATTATGATATAATTATACCATTTCTCCCTAGCTTTTCCTTCTTCCAAACCCTCACATATACCCCCTTCTTCCACTCATTCAAATTTACGGTCTCTTTTTCATTAGTGTTGTTATGTACAGTAATCCCTAAATGCATAACTAGAGCCTGCTCAGTCTGTAAATGTTACTAGTATGCAGGTTTTTAGGGCTGACCATTTGGTATCGGATGACCAATTGGTGTGCTCCTCCCTGAGGAACTCTATTTTTTCACTCTCAGCACTCTTCCTTGGTTGTCCATAGTTCTTGGGATAGGCTTTAGGCACATTGGCATTTTTATTGTAGCTGTCCTTGTTCAGCTCATGTTTAGGCTGTCATGTTGGTGAGACTTTTTGGGTGTAGCTTCTGACATTACTAGGAGACAACAGTCTCACAAAAACCTCCTAATCCTCTTGACTCTTAAAACCTCCAGCCCCCTAATGCTCCCAGGGCCTTAGGTTCTGGGTGAATCCATTGAGACCGGGTACCACAGATCTGCTTTTTGAGTGGTTTTGTTTTCCTGCAATTCGTCTGTTGCAAAGAAGGGGTTCCTTGTTGAGGGATAAGGACAACACTTATGTGTGTATAGGGACAAATATTTAGAATATAGTTAGGGATTATTCTGGTTTAGTAAAGTTATGGTTGTAGATTCTCCTCCAGGATCCAAGACTTCACTAGCTCTGGAGTAGTTGGCTAGGCTTCCAGTACCAGGCCTGATTTTTTTTTAAAGATGGTCTTCAGTCCAATCAGAGGGCTGTTGTTTACTGCCAAGGTTTGTGTGCCACTGCTGCACTCTTAGGGGTATGCCATGCTGGTTATGGTATTTCAAAGAACATCATAGCTAGGTAGAACTGTTGGTTGCTTCCCTCCTTTGGAAGATTGCTTTCTGTTACCACGAAAGCTAGTCCTTAGGGAGCAGGCATTCAGTTAGTTCCATTCCATTTCAGGAGTTTTCAGGCCCTGAGTCTGAAATTCAGTGATTTCCATGAATTTTTACAGATTGTTTATTTTAATTTTTTATGTGTAGGTGTTTTGCCTGCATGTATTTCTTTGTACTATACATCCATACCTGTTAACCATGGAGGCAAAAAGAATACCAATTCTAGAACTGGAGTTACAGATTGTAATCTGCCATGTGGGTTCTAACAATTGAATCTGGGTTAGGAACAGCCAGTGATCTTAACCAGTAAGCTGTATCTCCAGTCCCATTCATTAATTTTTATTATTTAAAAGTTGGAGTCTCCCACCACTATCTTTCTAATTTAGTATTGTTTTAAAAAAAAAAGAGAAGAAGGTTATTTGGAAGATCTAAGAATATTGTCTTTAAGCAAAAAATTACTTAAGAATTAAAAACAAAACGCACCAAACTTTTTAGTACTTTGAAATAGCAGATTCTAATGTTTTTTAAAGGAGTATATTCAAATTAAGAATGTATTTGACAAGTGCTTGAGAAAACTACCGTTTTTACTTCTTAGGCATACCCTTAAAATCAGTAATTGTTTCATGAAAAGGTTGAAGCTGACTGGTGAATCACAAATTGAAGTAATTTTTTAGAGTGCTCATGAAAGAAACATTGTTCATTCTGGTTTTTTTTATTACACGTTTGTTAAAAACCTATACAATATGTTTTTTTCTTGTTACTCATCGTATCAAATTGTCTTAAGTAATGCTTATGAGCAGTAGTTACCACAAGATACAGTTCAAAATTTTAAACTCATTGTTTTTATACATTACACCATGCTTTATCATGGATTTTAAAATTTGGAAGGAACTTCACAGGCCGTCCTAGCTCTCTCATCTCCTTATTAGCCATGACAAATATCTGTGTGCTTCTCACTAGATGTTCTGAAGCACAAAATATACATTATCTGACTTTCCAAGGATACTGTGTTCTTTGAATCCAGTCTTACTTCATACTGCTTCTGATTGTATGTTGGAGTACTGACAACCAAAGGAATTTATCATCCTCCACCTCAGTAGCACAGATCCATTCATGTTTTGAACCTTGAAGAATAAATGCATTCTTGACATCTGTGAAAACATTTAAGATACATAATTTTTTTTCATCTGTTTAAAGTATACCATGGCCTAGCAGTGTTTCACTGGAACTACACTAATCTTTAATCTTCACAGGCAACAATGAAAAAAAAAAGTTTTAAATTCAAGACTTGACTAGCTAATCTTAGAATTTTTTTTAAAACCTACAATCAAGGATTCAAAATGAGTACAAATATACCTTTATCAAAGTGGCTGGATACAAAATTAACTAAAAAAGAAAATCAGTAGCCCTCCTGTATACAAAAGACAAATGGGCTGAGAAAGAAATTAGGGAAACAATACCCTTCACAATTGCCACAAAGGACATAAAATACCCTGGTGTGACTAACCAAGCAAGTCAAAGACTTGTGTGAAAAAAAAAATTCCAGTCTCGAAAGAAATAGAAGAAGATATCAGAAGATGGAAAGATCTCCCATGCTCATGGCTTGACAGGATTAACATAGTAAAAATAACCATCTTACCAAAAGCAGTCAGTCTACAGATTCAATGTAATTTCATCAAATTACCAACACAACTCTTTACAGACCTTCAAAGAAAAATTTTCTACTTCATATGGAATAACATGAAACCCAAAATTGCTAAGAACAATCCTCTACAATAAAAATCTGAAGGTATCTCTATCCCTGATCTCAAGTTGTACTATAGAGCAACAGTAGTAAAATAGGGCATGGTACTGGCATAGAAACCAACTGGTGGATCAATGGAATCGAATAGAAGACCCTGAAATAAACCCACACACTTAAGGACACCTGACTTTTTACAAAGATGCCAAAACCATACAATGGAAAAAAGACAGCATCTTCTACAAATGGTGATGGTCTAACTACATGTAGAAAAATGCAAATAGATCCATACTTATCACCCTTCACAAAACTAAAGTCCAAGTGGATCAAAGACCTCAACATAAAACCAGACATGCTAAACCTGTTAGAAGAAAAAGTGGGGAAGGGCCTTGAATTCATTGGCCCAGGAGACAACTTCCTGAACAGAACACCCACAGCATAGGCTCTAAGATCAACAATCAATAAATAGGATCTCATGAAACCGAAGAGCTTCTGAAAGCAAAGGACACTGTCATTAGAACAAAACAACAACCTACAGATTTGAAAAACATCTTCACCCTTTATCTGACAGAGGGCTAATACCCAGAATGTCTGGAAGTCTGGAATGAGTACTTAGTCCTACTAGAATAGAATAGTGATAGATAAAAGGGCTGGGACTGTAGCTCAGTAGAGTACTTGCTTAGCATGTATGAGGCTCTAGATTCAATCTCCAGTACTGCTAGTGATAATGATAGATGCATAGGTGATAGATAGATAGATAGATAGATAGATAGATAGATAGATAGATAGATACCTGAAATTGTGACCCAAGCCTGTAGCATCTTCAGACAGTATAAGAGTCTTACAGAACCCTTCAGATGATGTGACCCTTGTTTACTGCTGACTAAGCTGTTTTTCTATTGTCTGAGGTAAAGGTCTGGTAATGCCAGCTTTTGTTTCTTTAAAGGCAAGTTAATGAAATCCTAGTATTGGTAATTATTTACAGACTGGCAAATTGTTCCAGCCTTTCCCCTACTTGGATATTTTTATAGTTAATAAATTTTGTATGCACTTTTCTCATGAAAGAAAATACATACATTTGGAGTCTGGAATGTCTTCTATGAGCATCCTGGGAAGGGGCACTGATGTAATGAACTGGTAGGTTGTTTTAGAAGTCCTTTCAAATGGAGTATGAGATGTGCTCCGACTGGTAATAAGCAGTGCATCATTGAAGAGAAAGAGACTGAGGTCTCGGGTCTGTTCATACTGCCTGGTGTAAAGTGGAGAGGGGAGTTATTTTCATGAGTATGCACCATATTGAACAGTCAACCATCTTTAAATTGATATGCCTATGATTAAGACCTTATTTCCACTATAGACCTTTTGTTTAATTCATAAAGTCCTTGGTGATCTTGCATCTCTCAGACCAATAATGTAGGCCAACAAGGTGCCTGATAGAGTTATTTGATTTCATACATTACACAAGTATTTTGATTATGTACAAAACATGAACATTGAGGGCTGGAAAGATGGCTCAGGTTAACAGCACTGGTAGTTGTTGCAGAGGACTAGGGTTTAATTCCCAGCACCCAAATGTGGTTAATAGCCATTGTAACTCCAATCCTAGGGGACCCAATGCCCTCTTTTGATCTCCATGTGCACCAAACACATACACACAGTGTGCGTAATACAGCACACCTAAAGGACTGAATCCAGCTTCTTTTTAAAATGAAGATTGAATGTTTCCTCCTTTATTACATGAATGTTATTATGACTGTATTTTTCTAACTTTTGGCGGGCTCAGTGTTTTGGGCTAGATATATTTGACCTGAGAATGGTACGGTTTTGCTTTGTTTCACCTAAGAGTGATGTATTAGGAAGGCAAATTTAGGAGAACTGGTGTGGCTGGGGGCATCCTTCAGTAGAAACCTGGGGAAAGAAGTATTACTAGTTAGAAACGAATTTTAATTCCATCTGGAGAGAAACAGAAAGGGAGGTAGCTCAATAGCTTTATCCATGTGGAAAGGAAATAGTTCTTTGTTTTCATTGAAGTTACTAAAAATGGTCAGCTGTAAGGAAAGAGCAAAATTTGCTGTGCTTAGGAGCTCACCAGTTGTACTCTGAGTTTTGCTTTGGGTATGCGGGTAACTAGAAACATAGTGGTCAGAAGCCCCTAGAGTCAGCTCTTGTATGCAAACTTTTCCTTGTCTCTTGGTTATGATTCATGCTGATGTTAGTGGGTTGCTTCATATTTACTTATATTTTCTTTAGAAAGAAGGAAAGAAAAGAAAAGGAAAGAAAGGAAAGGAAAGAAAGCTCTTTAGACTAAGTTGATTAATTACTCTGAAAATGATAGGGCAGAACTAGGACAGAAGGGGAAAGGAAGCCAAAAGGGTAAATGATGAACCTCATGTGGGAAAAGGCTGTTTTAACTAAGAATTATATCATGTTGTTTCCCAGTAGACAGGGAAAGTTTTGTCATAAACTGATAAAGGACAATTATTTTTTTCTCTATTTAAGTTTAGAAAAATGTTTAAAAGTTTTACATTTTAAGATGTAAAAAATTGTTTTATAACAGGAAGTAAGCTTACAGGGTGCTATGAAGCAATGACATTGATACTGGTGCTTACTTCAGTAGTAAATATTCACCTTTCCCCACTACAGTGACAATGGTGAGAGTAGAAAGGTCTGTGCTCCCACTCAGAACCAGCTCTAAGGAGAGGGTTTTTCCCCCAGTATAATGTGGTAGGTTTTCTTTCTGTCTGTAAATAGTGACTCACCAAAATGGGACAGAGCTGCTCCATGGTAAGTTCTTGGCTCTGGTCAGAAGGGCTTTGTCACTGTTGCTCGCTGCATCAGCTAGCCTGACAGGGAAGCATTAGCTTTCTACTTGTATGAACACATAAAACTCCCAAGTCCTACATCCACGCTTTGGGGTGAAGAGGCAGCTTTAGGCCACCAGCTTTCAGTGTGAAGAGACCAAGTCCAATCCGCTGACCGGAGTCTATGCAGACACTCAGGAGCAGATCTCAATGGCTCTGGAGTCCTTAGAATAAGAGCTACTTCCTCACCAGATTCCAGTTACCCTGAGAAGGCTTAGCAGATCCTCTCCCCCAAGCATAGTTATCCTGCTAAATGACAAGGCCAACTTCCATTTGTCAGTACTTTTGTTGTTGTTATTTTGAACCATTAGCAAGGCCACAAAGAAAGAAAAATGAAGCTTAAAAATTAACAAACTTAGCCAGGTGTGTGAGTCACATCCGTAATCTCAGCACTTAGGAGGTAGAGGCAGGAAGATCAGGAGTTTAAGGCAGCCTCAGCTACAGTAGTAAGCTTGAGGCCAGTGTGGCCTGAGACCTCTGGTGGGGAAAAAAAGATTAACATGAAAATTGGTACTTCTGAGAAAACTGGAATAGAAAAGTTCTGAGGTATACAATAAAATTTTAATGAAGCTCATGGTGTTGGTTCAAGCCTTTAATCCCAACTCTTGGGAGGCAGAAGCAGGAAGATTTGCATTCCAGGCATAGTCTACCTAGGGAGTTCCCGGTGAGCCATGGTTATACAGTGAAACCTAATCTCAAAAATAGGCCCAACATAACCAAAATTGTATTCTGTGTCCACACTAGAGCAAAGCCTGCCAAATTTCCTGGTTCTTAAAATGACCATGGCTTCACCTCTGACTCAGTGAATACCTTTTCATTGAGAACACAAACCTTTCCTCACCCTTGGGACAGCACTTACTAATTTGCTTAGTTACTGCTGTGTTGCTGCTTTTGTTGTTCGCTAAGCTCATCCTCCTACCTGCCTGTCTAAATGGTGGAATTAGCATTCTCCACCAACCCACACCTTGTCATAGATTACAGACCAGAACTACTAGTTCTTTGACTGGCCACGTTTCTTTTATGACTTGTTTTTCTGTCAAAGATAAGGTCTGGCCTTCCTGCCTCAGCCTCCTGGACAGAGATGGCATGTGTACCGCAGCCTGGCTTCAGACAACTCTCCACCTTTCCCCCTCTCCTCACCAAGTGGTTGTAGTAGCTTTAATCAAATGAATTTATCAAGCATATGGTAAACTGTAAGGCCTTATAGCACCGTATAAATAAACCATAGATATAAACACAAGCAGGGAAGATGTGCTGTAAGTGAAAACTCTTGATAGAAATGAGAATAACATTTCTTGGGTTTAATTTACTTTAAAATGGCATGTTTTCAGGCTAAACATGGTGTGATATCTTTGAAATATACCTTTTATACCCCCACTGGGATCAGAGGCAGGTGGATCTCTGAGTTTGCCTAGTGTACATAGTGAGTTCCAGGACAGCCCTGTCTCAGGAAAAAAAAATAATAATAATTTAGTTTTATCCTCAAACCCTCACGTATTCTAATCTCTTAAAAATACTAAAGCAAGTCTGAGTTCTAATAACCGAGAATTCCAGCTTCCAATTGACATGTGAAGAGCTTAGAAGTTCCACTCCCATCATGGCAAAAAAGCACCGAAAAAGCACAGTATTGGTGGACTGAGGTCATAGATTTCATGGCTGCTCCAAAGCTAAACAGACAGTCCCAGTTATCAGAAACAAACTACCATGATAGCAAGCATAAAGTAGAGATTCTAAAAGCATAGTTGAATAGTTCCTGAAGATTGAGCTTGGTTGGCCTGAATGCTTAAAACCTCAGGATTCTATGCTGGTAGGTATTTTACTTCCAGGAACCCAACAGGCTCTCACACAGCTGAGAAGAATCTCATTCTGGGCTGGGGTACAGGAGTAGTTAGCATGGCCATTCTGAAATATGAACCCAAAGTTTTTCTTAACAATGTCTTTAACAGAAGCCTGCTGTCAGGGGTTCTTTTAGCAGTCTGGGAAAGGGGGATTCTTATTCACTCCAACCCCCACAGCCTTCCTATCACAGAGTGAAGTTTACCTGTAATCCCAGTCCTTGGGAGGCTGAGGCAGAAGGACAGCCACAAATTCAAGGTGGGTGTCAGATCCACCCACCCAGGGTGAGGAAAGGTTTGTGTTCTCAATGAAAAGGTATTCACTGGCCAGCGTAGGCCACACAGTGATGAGAGAACTACAGAATGTGTCCCTCCTCTCACATCTTTCTACCACATCCATAGGACAACTATATCATTACAGTAGAGAAAATAGAGGGTTCAGACTGCTGAAGAGCCTGGGGTTGGAAAGATGCTTCAATAGTTAGAGCACTTCTATTCCAGCACCCACATTCCAGTTCCTAGGGGATCTGACACCCTCTTCTAGCTTCCATGGACACCAAGCACATACATGGTACACGTGTATACATGCAGGGAAAATGCTCAGAATAAATCTTGTATTTTGGGGAAAGGGGTGGGGCTTCAAAACAGGTTGCTCTGTTTAGCCCTGACCATCCTGGAAGGCTCTGTAGACCTCGCCTATAACTTGGTGATCAACCTCTGCTCCCAAGTGCTGGAATTAAAGGACTGTGCCACCATGTCCTACCTTTTATTTATAGTTATTTATTTGTTTGTTTGTTTGTTTGTTTATTTGGAGTCTTTAAGGCTGGACATGGTGACAAAACAAGGACATCAGGGGAATGGCAGCCTTTCAGTAGAGCAAACAGCGCAGCCTAAGTAGAGGGGCATGAAACCACACCAAAAAGGCCTTATAACTGATTATTGGTTTGATTTGGTTTGGTTTTGCTTTACTTTGTGTTTTGGTTTCTTTTGTTTTTTATTTTTTTTCCCTAGCTTTCAATAAGTTTTGAGGCAGGCTGAGAGGCAGAAGGCAAAGTGAAGAGACAGGGCAAGCATCAGAACCAAACTTAGATAGCGATTTTGGAACATTCAAATTAGAAATTTAACTATGATTAATATGTAAGGAAATCTAATAAGAAAAAAAGGGCAAATAGAAGAAAAGTAGTTAATAGGAATAGAGTAATAGATACTCTTACAAAAGAAATCGTAAAAATAAAACTGTAATAAAGACCCCAGTAGTGGACTTATGGGGAGACCGTAGCAGAGTTAGGAGTTATGGTAAGCTTATAGAAAGTCTTAAACTGACATACTAGCTGGTTTCATGTGTCAGCTTGACACAAGCAAGAGTCATCAGACAGGAAGGAGCCTCAGTTGAGGAAATACCTCCATGAGATCCAGCTGTAAGGCATTTTCTTAATTCATGATCAATAGGGGAGGGCCCAGCCAGTTGTGGGTGGTGCCATCCCTGGACTGGAGGTCTTAGTTTCTATAAGAAAGCAGGCTGAGCAAACCATGGGAAGCAAGCCAGTGAGCAGTGCCCCTCATGGCCTCTGCATCAGCTCCTGCCTCCAGGATCCTGCCCTGTTTCAGTTCCTGTTCTGACTTTCTTCAGTGATGAACAGTGCTGTGGAAGTGTAAGCTAAATAAACCCTTCCTCCCCAACTTGCTTTTTGGTCATGGGGTTTCATTGCAATAGAAACCCTAACCAAGACAACTGAAAAACAGGAACAGACTGAGGTTGGAGAGAAAGGACAATATCTAAACAGTAAGGGCAATTGAAAAACAAAACAAAACATGTCATGGGAATACCAGATAAGGAAGAGAGAAAAGAACAGGAGAAATACTCAAGGAAAAATTGCTTAGAGGCTGGAGACATGGCTCAGTGGTTGTTTCCTGTTCTTGCAGAGGACCTGAACTCAATTCTCAGCACCCACATCATGGCTGCATTGGACTTCTGTTCAAAACTGACCAAGCAAAAAGAAGATGAAGTGAAAATACTGAAAGAAACAAAAACTCAGCAACCTAAAATTTACCCCTTGGACCTTCATAGAAAAACATTTCCATTATTGGATCTAAAAAATCAACAGGAAGATTAATTTATGGACTTTGGTATCTTTCCATCTGTTCTTACATATCTCCGAGAATTATACAAAGTAAATATAGTAAAATAATTTTCAGTGCTATCTTGAACAGCTACCTAATGATAATAAAATGATCCTATCACTTTTAACAGAATATTGGTATGAGCTCCCACAATATTTGGATATGATCTCATCAGGAAACTGACCAGCCTCGAGAAAGTCTACTACGAAGTTTACAGTTTTGCAGACACTGTTTTCTCTCATTCTACCAAGGAGCCACCTGGAATACAAGCAAGCTGATAAAGTGTTGTCCATTCCCTAGAGCCGTGGTTCTCAACCTTCCTGATGATGCAACCCTTTGCTATAGCTCCTCAAGTTGTAGTGATCTCCAACCATAAAAATAAGCCATTACTACTTCCTAACTAATTTTGCTACTGTTACAAATTGTAATGTAAATATGTTATGTGACCCAATGACTTAGAAGCATATGCACGTAATTTTGATTCAGCACAAGGGTTCTCTTGACTAAACACAAGGTCAAGCATTGTACTGGTTGCCAAAGGTGAGTGATGAGCCAGACAGTTACTGCATTCAAGGTGCTCACAGCCTTGGTGTAGTTAACAGCTGCTCACCTTAAGGAGAAATCCATTTTCTCATCACAGCAGCGAAGTTGAACTACATCTTGGATCCTGATCAGGTATCTGTTTATTTCTGATAGAGTCTATAAAATAAAAAATAACAGGCCGTATGATTATTTGAAATTTCACTAGTGCAGAACCATTCTACATCCCAGAACAGATAGGTGTTGGCCCGAACTTAGTGCAGTTGTAAGAAAGTCAACTTTTTCTTGGTTGGTAATACAAGCTTCCTTTAGCAAACAAAACTGACAATGAAGACAATTTTGAGGCTTCCATAAAGCTATTGAAATATTTTGTTTGCATAATCTATCCTAGTAACAAAAACAAAGTTAAGGAGGTGGTCAAAGGAGCTGTCAAGGGAAAAAAAAAAATGTGGGCTGGAGAGATGGCTCAGCAGTTAAGAATACTGGCTGCTCTTCCAGAGGACCGAGGTTCAATTCCCAGTACTCACTTGGAAGCTCATAACTGTCTGTAACTCCAGATCCAGGGCATCAAACACCCTCACACAGACATACATTCACATAAAATAAATCATTTAAATTTTTAAAAAGAAAAAGAAGCAAAAGAATTAGTAATATTAAGAAGCAGGCTCCTGCATTGCTCTGGCCATGGGGATGCTTTCTCAGTATGCAGAGATCAGAGATGAAGTTTTGTGAGTGAGTTTCTAAGAATCATACTTTGGCAGTCCACCCATCCACGCTTCTCTTTTTTTACAAAGACATGAAGATAGACATTATGACAAAACTATCCCATTTGACCAAATAAAGGCATCTCCAATTAACTAATGCTTTCATTCATCATCTATACCAAGCTCCTGCTGAATGTCAGACATCAGAAAACAAAAGCTCACACATGGTGGGGCTCCCAGTCTGTGACTAGATGGGTGAAGGCCATATGACAGGGCTGTCCATGGGGCTGGGGAACACCAAGGAAAACAACAGCTCTCAGCTAGTGATAAGGGAAACTTAACAGACAATATCATGTTTGGCCTCATTTTAAAGTGTGTGTGTGTGGGGGGGGGGTGTAAGTGGTGTATGTGCACACAAAAAGGCCAAAGAAGGACAACATTACCCTGTTGGATCACTCTCTGCTCTATTCCCTTCAGACAAGGTCCTCCAGGAAACCTGGAGCTAGGCTGGCAGCCAGCGAGCCCCAGCAACTCTGTCTCCCTCTTCACAGCACGGAAGGTGGAGGTTTCAGCCTGTGGCCACATCAGGCTTTTTATGTGAGTGCTGCAGACACTTTGGGAGCAAGAGCTCTCACCCCTGAGACACCTCCACAGCCGCCTGTCCTGACTTCTAAAAGGTTACTAGTACTTCTCCAGTGAAATAGGAAAGGATGGCTATTTCAGAGAAGAAAGCATATTTTCAGAGGACCAGTAGAAGCAGGCTACGTTATGGGAGAGTGGAGAGTAGATATATATGGTAGTAGTCTTGGGAAATAAGGGAGTCAGAAAGATAAACGCGATTAGATAAGTTTATAGAAATGATAGGTAACGGTTAACAAAGGGGTTTCCAAGTGCTGTGACATTTCAGTGTGCTGAATCTTGCACCAAGGACTTTATCCGTCAGAGATCAGGTAGAATATGCATCTGAATGCTCAACTCAGAGTACCAACAAAGAAGGAGCTACAGAAGACCCCAAACATGGGATAGGACATTGGCCCACAAACGCATTTTCTAGTGATGTGGATGACAGGGCTCTGTTGCGTGAAAGCCTGTAGGGCTTGGCAGTCCTTTAGCTGCCTCCAGATCTGGATGTCTCTTTTTGCCAGCGACAAAGTTATACTCGTGAACGTGGAATGTGGCAAGAATGTCAACATACGTACGGGGCACCCCCAGATGACTGTCTGCATAGCAGAAAGCTGCTCTCTCATTTTGAGGTTTTTCTTTATCTAGAAAACAAGATTATATTAGATCATAACATTTGTGTTCATATTTTGTGACACCTGGTACAGGGCTTGGTACCTGAATAAAAATATTAATTCTCTAGACCCAGTATTTTAACAAAGTCAAGTAACAAAGGTGTTCAGAAAAAAAAATATTTTCAGGGTGTAATGTGCTGTTCCTATTTAGCCCAGATGCCTTACAGTGTATAGGGTAATTATGAGTGCTGGACTTACTGAGTCAGGAAAGTGACTTGATATCTTTAAAAAAAAAAAAACAAAAAAAAAAAAAACAAACTTGACAGCAAACAAATTTTACATGTTTTTTTTCTTTTGATTATCTATAAAAATGCAAAATTTACACTTTCGCACTAGAAAATGTGGTGCTAGGGATGTGACACAGTTCACAGAGTGCTGGCCTAGTGAGCACAAAACCCTGAGTGCGAGCTCCGTGTTACCCAGGAATACCGGTGAGTCTCTGTGGTCTCAGCACCCAGGGAATTAGGGAGACAGGAGGATCAGAACTTTAACATGATCCTTGGCTACCTATCAAGGTCACACTAATCTGGGACACATAAGACCCTGTCTAAACCTGGGTGTGTGGCAGAGAGCACTGCGACTGTGCACTCACATTGTTTGGCTGAGAATAAATGTCCTTCATGTTCAAAATTGTGAAACAGGACTATGTATCTTTAATGGGATCAAAGATTGAAGTAAAGACTACCACTAAAATAGGGCATCTCAGGGTCTTCGAGTGAGACCACCACAAAAGTGCTGAAGTTGAAGGATGCATGCATGCGTGAGCTACCCACCTGATCTATGTAGCCTTGATAGTTTTTGATTTGATCAATTGCAGTGGTCAGGTCCCCACGATCTACGTGTCCTGCAGGAGTATGGAGTCTCAGAGCATAGAGAAGATGAATATATTCTTCAAATCTCCGGGACGGGTACAGAAGCAGCTCTGGCAGGCTGTATAGGGCATAGGGAAGGATGTCCTGGTTGCTATCTGTAAGTCATTAGGGCCTGTCCTTGAGTGCCTAGCTGTGCTCTCTCTGGAAACTCACCTCAGCATTTTGGTAACAATGGTTTTATCATGCCTCTTCAGGAAAGCTCTGAATGCTGGTGTCATTTCTCTGCACTAAAAGGTGAGAATTACATTGTCAAAACTTTGCTCTGTGAGACAGTCATAAAGCTTTGTGTTCTACCAGCAGCAAGTGTGATCTACAGAATAGTCAAAGCAAGAAGATAACACCTCCATCTAATCTAAAGATGGAGTACTCTATTGTGTCTTCTAATATATTAACTTCAGTATTTTAATTATACCACAGATCTAACCATATCCATTAACTTAATTAATAGAGGGGAATAGCAACAGATTTGTAATTAAGGTGAGACTGGATTAGAGCTAGAATAAATTGTGTATGTGACCTTGTCAAGTTACCTAACTTCCTCATCTGTAAAATGGATAGAAGACCCAGCCCATAGTGAGGGGACAGAATCCCATCCATAAAGTTCCTGCCGTGCAATAAATCCTATTTCATTTCTGCACGAGTTTGAATATCACTGGTATTCACCTTTAATTCTGTTGCCATTCATGTTTTCCCATTGTAATGTTATAAAAATATTCCCCTATACTTAATATCCATCTTAAATGTACTAATTCATCATCACTGGTGCACCTGTGAAATTATGTCTTTCAACTCAGTATGTACATGTCTAAAAGATGTCAATGTTGCTAATGTCTGAATCAAAGATCTGCTGATTTTATTGCCCCAACAATAGTTTAGAAACAAAGCCACTTATACCTGCGAACAAGTAAAAGACTTAAGCAGATTTGTTGGTGTTGATAATAATGATAATAGCTACCATAGCTATGTGTACTGGTAGCTGTATGCCCTGACTATGCTAATGAAGTTTGCCAATGCTATAAAGGTTTTGCCACCAGTTTGTTTCTGATAACACTCTTCGATCTAATTCTTGTCCTCAAGGTCAACAATCATAGTCAAGTTGTCCATAGAGCCAAACTTGCATATTTCCAGCATTGTAGTAGCAGAGAATTCTGAGTTCACAATCTTGCTTCGACATAGTTTTTCAGTGTCCTGTCACTGAGCCACTAAGTAGCTGGGGTGCATGAAAAATGGGCAGTATATATGAGGACAGCTACAACTCAACTATCAGTACTGGAGCACTGCTGTGTCCACCACTGTGTTAGCCCCTGTCAAGGCCCCTGTCCTCAAGAAGCTTGAAGTACAACAGGGAGACCTGAGAAGGAGCAGCCAAGAAGCAGCCCTTCCCATTGACCTCAGTCCTTTGGGTTGTACAGGATTAGGGTGGAGATAGCACAACCACTTACCTTCTCGATGGTTTTCAGAACAACTGGATAATTGTTGAAAAAATTGCTGTATGTGTTCAACTGGCTTCCAAACTTTATGAATATTTCTCCCACACAGTGGGCTGGGCTCCATTCCTGTAGTCTGTCTTTTAGGTTATCTAGAAACTCTCTACAACACAAGATTTTATCTTAAAATTGGCGCCTGTGAAAGTCTCCAAAGTAAAGCCATGAATTCATCAGTGTGGCTTCTCTGATTTGTCTTCTGTGATAGGACGTGGTTTTGATCAGCTGAGCACCTTACCTCGGAGCCGAGAGAATGTGACAGAACAAGGGAGCTGGGCAGTGAGGAAAGAGGTTGGTTGTCTAGGACCCAAATCTTGTCCTGTAATTCCTTGAGTCAGAACACAGCTTCCCACAATAGAGCCACTTCTGAAGGGCCCTCCCTCAGAGACCCAGGGCTATGCCATTCTCACAGTCCTCTGAGGAGAATGGCGGTGTCAAACCTTCAAGGCCAAGAACCATAACTTGTATACATCCTGCACACTCTACAGATTCAAGGTGACCCTTCTTAGCTTTTCTAGGTCATGAAAACTGAAAAAGGTTTCATCAGCCTTGTCACTGGGTAAGAGCTAGGCCCAAAGAGGTGAAGAACTATCTCTCCAGCTCTGTGGAAATTGACTAAGACCAGCATTTGGCTCACTTCACTCTTAACTACAGGTAGAAATGATTGTTTTTCTCAGTCTCTTGATACATACAGGAAACGTACTATGGAAAAGCAGAGTAACCTGCTACCACTGAATCTTTTTGTTCCTGACCTATTATTCAGTTAGACATTGTTGACTTTTCCCTGTGGGCTTTTGTGTGAGCAGTTTATTGAGCACAGAATGCTTAGGCATTGAATTATTTTTCTTGGACACGTTGCAACCTGGGGCTGGTGGCACTGGAAGCCATGCCTGCTGATTGTAGCCGTCAAGGGACGTGCAAAGGAGTCTCTCTGCTCCTCCAGGTAATAGATCCCCCAAGAAGATAGAGAACTACTAGGCCACAGTGGGGCTTTTGAAACAAAGTGTTCTCTTCCCACCAACTGGGAAGTATATTTAGAATCCATTTTTAGTGTTTACCTGTTGAGATTTAAGATGCGCAGAGTGTCAGAAAAAATGATGTGGATATTGGCAGCACTCAGAATGGCCCTGTTTGAAGACAGTGCTGCCCTCAGGGGCCTGAGGTACACATCCCTCACGATTTCCAGCATCTGCACATACCGTCTCTCACTCTGTACAAGCTCCCTTACAACTTGGGTTCGTTTCTCTACTGAGTCCATCTGGAGTTTTCTCTCCTGCAGAAAACATCAGGAATTCAGGAGAAACTGAATGACTAAGGTTCTCAGCAAAGGGGCAAGACACATAAGGAAGAGAAAGAGGTAAGAGCCATAAGAGAGGTCATCCTAAGGGAAGGTCACAGCAGTATGGATCTAGATAAAGCCACCCAGAAGCTTAGCAAGCTGAGACAGACAGCTGGTGCTGGCCCTCCCACTTTTGAGTGTCCTCTGTTCTAGTTCTCCCTCACCCACTGGGATAGCATAAGGAACTGTACATGAAGAACCCACTGTATTATGTGCACAAGTGTATTTCCTCCCTCCCCTCAAAAAACCAAAGATGTCTTGGTTGACATCAAATTGGGTGGAGGAATTCCCCTGTAAAATTCCCCTTCCTGTCTCAGAGTGGCAGGAGCATTCATTCAGCTCTCACCTCTCTAATCCAGAAGTGATTTTATGCTCACTATGTTAACAAAACAGCATTAAAGTCCTACATACTGTCCTATTGAACAATTTTAGTCCTTTTTTTTTTAAATTTATCACTGACAAAACAAAACAAATAAAACTTTTTTCTGGCCCTGGGGACTGAACCTCAAACTCTACCATTTGAGTCTACACCTCAACTTCCAAGGACAAACACTTTCACACACCATTCTTCTACATAGGACAAACTATCTGAGTAGAATTAAATTTCTCAAAAAAAAAAAAAAAAAAAAAAAAAGACTCTTAGGCGGGACATGGTTGCACATACCTATAATCTCAGCATTTGGAAGGCTGAAAGAGGCAAGAGAATTGTAAATTAAAAGCCATCATGGTCCACATAGTAAAACCCTGTCTCAAAAAAAACAAGAGCTGGAAATACAACTCAGTGGCCTAGCATTTGTATAGGATGGCTCTAGATTCAAGTCCTACTAGGGCCAAAAGCAATTTAAAAAAATTAATCTAGCCATGTCTGGTAATATGGGCATGTAATCCCAGTGCTCAGAGGCCATGCCATTCGCTACCATCAGCCTGTGATGAGCTTCTGTGTTGACCCCTAGTAATCGATTTTTGGGAAGAGTGAGAAACCATGTCCTAAGCTCAAGGCTTGTCCTGGACCCTGCCTAGGTGTGATGGGCTGTAAAGATCCCTAGGTCTGAGCTCAAGGCTGGAGAACTCACACATTCTCTCTCTGAGAATCTAACCTTAGGTGAGTCATTTAGTTTTTCTAACTCGGTGTTTATCTGTAAAACTGTGGATGCTAACATATACTTTGCAGTCTTTAGAAAAAGAAATGTAAACAAGCATGAAGCCATGTTGAATATTCCAAAATAGTATGTGCATGTTATGCATTTTGGCTGCTGGAACGGCCTCTGCATGTGTGGCATCCCCCTCTAAAATCTGTCCTTCAACCCAGGGCAGAGCCTTCACATATATTGACAACAGTCAGCTTTTGAAGTTAGACTGTACGTTTGTGGGCCAATTAAAAACTGCAAACCAATCCTGGCCCATAACTTCAACAGAAGTCCCCTGCTCTACCAGAAGTCACACAAGTATCCAGAACCCAAGGTAAGACCCAGCACAAAGACCTCGAAAACCTTCTTAGACTCTACTCATCTTTTCCCCAACAATACTCCCTCCCTTCATCTCCATATCCAGGCCTACAACTACAGCAAAACCCCCTGCTCTATTAGTGCCATGCTGGTACACAGAACCCTAGAAGCCACTCCAGTTTCCAGGCTCCCAGAACCCAGGCAGCCAAAACCTCATAGGCCATACATGCCACCAATACCCCAGGAAAGACACCCTACTGGACCAGAGGACTTGCCAGTCACAAGAACCGCAGGACACTCAGGCCGGAAAACCAGAAAGGAAACAAAAACCAAGAGGAAAATAATCTATCCAACAAAGATAAACTCAGAAATCAGTACCTAAACTTAAAATAACCCTAAACCTAGATGCCTAGAGGCCAGTGTAAGAACAAAACCACCAAACAACCACCAGGGCAATATGGCACCACCAAAGGCAAGCTTTCCTACTACAGCAAGCCCTGGATATTCCAACACAGCAGAAACACAAGAAAATACTCTTAAAACCAATTTTATGAAGATGACAGAGGCTCTTATAGACAAAAATAAATAAATCACTTGAAGGATGAAAAAAAGAAAAAAACAACCCTAAACAAACAGGTGAAGGAAATTAAAACTGTTCAAGGCCTGAAAATAGAAATAGAAGTAATAAAGAAAACACCACTCTGGAAATCAATCTGGCACTTTCTCAGACAACTAGGCATAGCACTTTCTCAAGATCCAGCCATACCACTCCTAGGCATATATTCAAAAGAGGCTCAAGTACACAACAAGGACATTTGCTCAACCATGTTTGTAGCAGCTTTATTTGTAATAGCCAGAAGCTGGAAACAGCCCAGATGCCCCTCAACTGAAGAATGGATGCACAAATTGTGGTATATCTACACAATGGAGTATTAATCAGCAATAAAAAACAAGGAAATCATGAAATTTGCAGGTAAATGGTGGGACCTGAAAAAGATCATCCTGAGTGAGCTATCCCAGAAGCAGAAAGATGCACATGGTAGTATATACTCACTCATATAGACATATAATATAGGATAAACCTACTAAAATCTGTACACCTAAAAAAAACTAATCAAGAGGGAGGACTCTTGCTAAAATGCTCAATTCCTATCCAGAAAGGCAAAGAGGCTGGACATCAGAAGAAGGAGAAAAGAGGGAACAAGTCAGGAGCCTGACAGAGAGGACCTCTGAAAAGCTCTGCCCTGCAGATTATCAATGTAGATGCTGAGACTTATGGGCAACCTTTGGGCAGAGTGCAGGGAATTTTAGGAAAGAAGTGGGAAACAGTAAGATCTGGAGAGGACAGGAACTCCACAAGGAGAGCAACAGAACCAGAAATTTGAACACAGGGGTCTTCCCAGAGACTCATACTCCAACCAAGGACTATGCATGGAGATAACCTAAGACCCCTGCACAGATGTAGCCCATGGCAGTTCAGTATCCAAGTGGGTTCCATTGTAATAGGAACAGGGACTGTCTCTGACATGAACTGATTGGCATGCTCTTTAATTAACTCCCCCTGAGGGAGAAGCAGCATTACCAGGCCACAGAAGAAGACAACGCAGCGACTCCTGATGAGACCTAACTGACTAGGATCAGAAGGAAGGAAAAGAAGACCTCTCCTATCAGTGGACTTAGGAAGGGACATGCATGCAGAGGGTGGAGGAAGGGAGGGATTGGGACAGGAGGAGGGAGAGAACCTCAGGGGGAATACAAAGTGAATAAAGTGTAATTAATAAAGAAAAGAGAGAGAGAGAGAGAGAGAGAGAGAGAGAGAGGAAGAGAGGACCCTGGCTAAAATGCTCAGTCCCCATCCTGAAAGGCAAAGAGGAAGGACATCAGAAGAAGAAGAAAACAGGAAACAAGCTAGAAACCCGCCATGGAGGGCCTCTGAAAGGCTCTGCCCTGCAGACTATCAAAGCAGATGCTGAGACTTATGGCCAACTGTTGGGCAGTATGCATGGAATCTTATGTAAGAAGTGGGAAATAGTAAGATCTGGAGAGGACAGGAACTCCACAAAGAGAGCAACAGAACCAGAAATTTGAACACAGGGGTCTTCCCAGAGACTCATACTCCAACCAAGGACTATTCATGGAGACAACCTAGAACCCCTGCACAGATGTAGCCCATGGTAGTTTAGTGTCCAAGTGGGTTCCATAGTAATGGGAAGAGGGACTGCCTCTGACATAATCTGCCTGCTCTTTGATCACCTCCCCCTGAGGGGAGAGTAGCCTTACTAGGCCACAGAAGATGACAATGCAACCCCTCCTGATGAGATCTGATAGACTAAGATCAGAAGGAAGGAGAGGGGGACCTTCCTTATCAGTGGACTTGGGGAGGGGCATGCATGAAGAAGAGGATGGGAAGGTGGGATTGGGAGGGGAGGAGAGAGGGGCTTATGGGGGGATACAAAGTGAATAAATTGTAATTAATAATAAAAAAAAACATTAAAAAAAGATGGCAGCAGCTTAAAAAAAAGAAAACACAAACTGAGAGAATTCTAGATATGGAAAATCTAAGTAAGTGAACAGACACTACAAATGCAAGCATCACCAACAGTATACAAAAGATGGAAGAGAGAATCTAGGCATAGAAGATATGATAGAAGAAAGTGATACATTGGTCAAAGAAATGTTAAATCTAAAACTTTCCTGACACAAAACTTCCAATAAATAAATCTGAAATACTATGAAAAGGTAAAACCTAAAAATTATAGGAATAGAAGAAGAATCCAGCTTAAGAACCTAGAAAATATATTTAACAAACTCACAAAAGAAAAATTTCCTAATCTTAAGAAAGGACATCTCTATAAATGTACAAAAAGCTTACCAAATATATTGGACCAAAAAGGAAAGTGGCATCACCACATAAAAACATTAAATATACAGGACAAAGAAAGAATATTAAAAGCTGCAAGGAAAAAAAGCCAAATAACATACAAAGGCAGACTTATTAGAGTCTGATTTTTTAGCAGACTCTAAAAGCCAGAAGGGCCTAGACATAGACCACAGATGCCAGCCCAAACTACTATACCCAGCAAAACATTCATTCACCAAAGATGAAGAAAATAAGATATTCTAAGACAGAATCAAATTTAAACAATAGCTATGCACAAATCCAGCCCCACTGAAGGTACTAGAAAAAAATTCCATCCAAAGGAGGCTAACTATATCCATGAAAACACTGGAAACAAATAATTTCACAACAAAACAAAACAAAAAAAACAATCACAGAGAGAGAGAGAACAAAATAACAAGAATTAATAATCAGTGGTCATTAATATCTCCTAGTATCAATGGACTTAACTCCTCCCCCCCCAAAAAAAAGACACAGTCTAACAGAGTATATTTGAAAACAGGATCCATCCTTCTGCTGCATATAAAAAACATGCCTATATCAAAGATAGACATTCACCTCAGAATAAGGGCTGAAAAACGATTTTCCAAGCAAAGGAACCCAAGAAACAAGATGATAGAGCCATTCTAATATCTAACAAAATAGACATCCAACAAAATAAATCAAAAAGATGAGGAAGGTCACATCATACTCATCAATGTAAAAACCCACCAAGACAAAAATCTCAATTCTGAACATTTATGTCCCAAACACAAGGGCACCCATATTTGTAAAAGAAACATTACTAAACTTAAATCATACATTGAACCCCACATTTTAATAGTGAGAGATTTCAATACCCAACTCCCACCAATAAACTGGTCATCCAAAAAAAATTAAACAGAGAAATAATGGAGCTAACAGACATTATGACTCAAATGGATATAAGAGATATCTACAGAATATTTCATCCAAACGCAAAAGAATATATCTTCTTCTCAGAACCTCATGGAGGTTCCTCCAACATGGGTCATATACTCAATCATAAAGCAAGCCTCTATATATACAAGAAAATTGAAATAACCCCTATATCCTATCAGAGCACTACAGATTACAGCTGGGTTTCAGCAACAGAAACAACAAAAAGCCCACAAGCTCATGAAAACTTAAAGACTTCCTAAAATTCAATGAAAATGAATGGACAATATACCCAAACTTATGGGACAAAATGAAAGCAGTGCTAAGAGAAAAGTTTGTAGAACTAAGAGCCATTATAAAGAAATTGCAAATCTCATAGTAGCAACTTAACAGCACCCTTGAAAGCTCTAGGAAAAAAAGAAGCAAGCACACCCAAGAGAAGGAGACAGCAGGAAATAATCAAACTCAGGGATGAAATCAATAAAAATAGAAACATAACAATACAAAGAATCAGTGAAACAAAGAGTTGGTTCTTTCAGAAATCAACAAGATAAACAAACCCTTATCAAGTTAACTAAAAGAAAGAATATCCAAGCTAACAAAATAAAAATGAAAGCAAGGGCATAACACTGAGGAAATAAAAAAATAATAATAATTACTCCACAAAAACATGTGCTCCACAAAACTGAAAAATCTAAAAGAAATGGACAATTTTCTCAATAGATACCACCTACCAAAGTTAATTTGAGATCACATAAACACTTTAAATAGACCTATTAACCCTAGGGAAATAGATCCAGTTATTAAAAGTTTACCAAACCAACCAACCAAACAGACAAACAAAAATCCCCACCGGGCCACACAGTTTTAGCACAGAGCACAGAATTCTACCAGACTTTCAAACAAGAGCTAATACCAGTACGTCTCAAATTATTACACAAAATAGAAACAGAAAGAATATTGCCAAATTCATTTTATGAGACCACAGTCACCCTGACACCCAAACCACACAAAGACTCAACAAGAAAATTATAGACCAATTTAACATAGTAAAAATGGAAATCTTACCAAAAGCAATCTACAGATTCCACACAATTCCCATCAAAATTCCAACACAATTCTTTAGAGACCGTGAAAGAACAATACTCAACTTCATATGGAAAAACAAAAAACCCAGGATAGCTTAAACAATCCTCTATAATAAAAGAACTTCTGAAAGTATCACTTAATTTCAAGCTGTACTACAAAGCTAAAGTTATAAAACCAACATGGCACTGGCATAAAAATAGACAAGCTGATCAATGGAATCAAATTGAAAGCATAGACATAAAACCATACACCTATGAATACCTGATTTTTTACAAGGAAGAGAGAAATATACAATGGAAATATACAATCTTCAACAAATGATGCTGGTCTAAGTGGATGTCATGATGTACAATAATGCAAATAGATCCATATCTATCACCTTGTACAAAACTCAAGCCCACATGGATCAAAGACCTCAACATTAAACCAGATACACTGAACCTGACATAAGAGCAAGTGGTGAATAGCCCTGAATGCATTGGCACGAGACAACTTCCTATACAGAACATCTATAGTGCAGCCACCAAGAACAACAAGCAATAAATGAAGTTGAAAAGGTTCTATAAAGCAAAGGACATTGTCAATAGGACAAAACAACAGCCTACAGAATAGGAAAAGATCTTGATGAAAATATATAAATATAATGTCCAAAATATAAAAAGAACTCAAAAAACTAGACATCAAAAATCAAATAATAGAATTAAAAATTTGGTACATATCTAAACAGAAAATTCTCAACAGAGGAATCTCAAATGGCTGCAAAGCACTTGAAATGTTCAACATCCTTAGCCATCAGGGAAATATAAATCAAAGCAACTCTGAGATTCCATTTATACCTGTCAGACTAAGAAAAAAATACTCTCTTGCTGGCAATAATATGGGGCAAAGGGAACACTTCTTCATTGCTAGTAAGAGTGCAAATTTGTTCAGCCACTTTGGAAATCAATATGGTGGTGTCTCAGAAAATTGGGAGTTGATCTATCTCAAGACCCAGCTATACCATTCTTAGGCATATGTCCAAAGCATGCTCCATCCTACCACAGGACACTTGTTCAGCTATGTTTATAGCAGCTTTATTCATAATAGCCTGAAAATGGAAACAACCTATATGTCCTCAACTGAAGAATGGATAAAGAAAACATGGTATATTTATACAATGGAGTATTACCCAGTTGTTTAAAAAAATTACACCATGAAATTTGTAGGCGAATGGATAGAACTAGAGAAAAATCATCCTAGTGAGGTAACCTAGACCCAGAAAGACAAGTGTGTTATGTACTCACTTATAAGTGGATATTAGCTGTAAAATAAAGGATAGCCATGCTACAATCCACAGACAGAGAGGTGAAGTAACAAGGAGGACTGAAGGAGGGATGCATGAATCTCCCTGCAAAGGGAAAACACAATAGATATCAAGGGTGGACTGGGGGCTGGTAAGGATGGGAACAGGAGGGCTCAGGTTGGGGGGTGGAGGGAGAAAATACTGGGAGAAACAACTGGAATTTGGGGCCGTCTTAGGGATTGGTAGAAACCTAGTGCGGTGGAAATCCCCAGGAATCTGAGGGTGACCTAGCTAACACTCCTAGTAATGTGCTACAGAGCCTGAACCAGCCATCCTCTCTAAATGGGCCAGGTTTCCAGTGGAGGGACTGGGACATCAACCCAGCCACGAAAGCTTTCACCTACAATTTGTCCTGCCTGCAAGAAGTGCTGGGGTAAAAGTGGCACAGAGTTTGTGGGAGTGGCCAGCCAATAACTGGTCCAGCTTGAGACCCAAGCCACGAGAGGGAGCCCACCTCTGTCACTGCCTGGAGGGCCAGTAACAGGCTGGACGGCCCAGAGACCTAGGATAAAGCCCAAACACAACCAGAAAAGAAAAAGTCAGTGAAATGATTCCTAATGTTACTCTGCTATACTCAAAGAGAGGAGCCTAGCACAATCATCATTAAAGAGGCTTCATTCAGCAACTGATGGAAACAGATTAGCCAAACATTAGATGGAGCTCTGGGTGTGTGGTAGCCAGAGGGGTCAAGGACATCACAAGGAAACCCACAGAATCAACTGAACTGGGCTCACAGGGGCTCACAGAGACTGAATCAACAATCAGGGAGCCTGCATGGTTCTGACCTAGGCCCTCTGCATATGTTATGCTTGTGTAGCTTGGTCTTTTGTGGGACTCCTAACAGTGGGAGCAGGGGCTCTCTCTGACACTTTAACTTGTTTTGGGGGCCCTTTTCCTTCCACAGGGTTGCTTTGTCCAGTGTTAATATTAGGGGAAGTACCTAGTCTTATTGCAACTTGATATACCATGTTTGCATGACATCAATGGGAGGCCTGAAAAGAAATGGAGGAGTGAATCTAGGGGGCGGCCTGAGAGGAGAGAAGGAGAAGGAACTGTAGTGAGGATGTAGATATGAGAGAAGAAAAACGAAAAAAAGAAAAACTTCAAGCCTCCATGTGTTGTTTCTGTAAATGATGACCTAGTCGTGGGAAATCATGGGGTCATGTGCAGACTGATTTTTTCTCAGATGTCAAGTCTCCATCCTTTGAATCAGTTTTTTGTGTGTATCCACAGAAAAGTTACCAGGTTAAAAAAAATCTACCAACTGTATTTTCCTCTAATACATTTAAGTAGTTGGCTGGTGGTTCCTCTCTTTAAGGAATGTTTCCAGGGAAAACAAAGAACTATGCAGGTGAATCCTGACTCTTCCCGGTCAGCAAGAGCACGGAACAGATCCTGGTCGGTAGGAGGTGGTTTACCAGCTTAACCAGCACCTCTGTGTCCAGGTCCATTTGGCTTAGACTTGGCTTTGAGTCCTGAGAATAGTCTTCTATTGTGCTTCTTTCCGCAAGAGTAAATAGAACTTGGTTCCTTGGGGGTGGGTCTTGTCCTTAAAAGCCCATTCAGTACTCTGTCCAGATGAGCCCTGGGAAGCCACAGGCCTTCAGCTCTTATCACAAGGTCCCTAGGCACACTGAATTAAGAACTTAACCTATGCCAGGCCTCTCACACTTATGTTTTTAATAACAGGTTGAGGGTAGTGTTCTCAACCTGTGGGTTGCGACTCCCACAAGGGTCCAGTATCAGATATCCTGCATGTTAGACATTTTTATGCTATGATTTATAACAGTAGCAGAATTTCAGCTATGAAGAAGCAACAAAATAATTTTATGGGTGGGGGTCACCACAACATGAAGAACTGCATGAAAGGGTCACAGCATTACGAAGGTTGACAACCACTGGGTTAGGGGCTTGGGAGATGGTCAGTGGGTAAAAGTTCCCGCCTGTAATCCTAGCCTTAGGAGGCAGGAATAGGAGGATCCCTGGAGGTTGCTAGTCATCCAATCTAACCAAAACAGCAAGCTTCAAGTTCAGTGAGAGAACCTGTCTTAGAAAGAAAGAAGAAAGGAAGGAAGGAAGGAAGGAAGGAAGGAAGGAAGGAAGGAAGGAAGGAAGGAAGGAAAGAAAGAAAGAAAGAAAGAAAGAAAGAAAGAAAGAAAGAAAGAAAAATACCCAGCACTCTGGTCTCCACACATGCACACATTTGTGTACACACAGTGTGCCCACATTTAAAAATAAAAATATACACAGCCTTTAGCGTCCTCTTGCCTGAAAGGTGGGGTGGGGTCAAGCAGTCCTGAGAGCGGGCTAGGCCTATGCTCCGTTTTTTCACTTCACAGATGCTGGCAAGTAGCTTATGTCACTTTTAAGAAGCTAGAAAGAACAGACTCTAACACTTTATAAAATTCACCTTCTTTTTCAACTCACGATAAAGTGCTATAAAAACTGTTCACATATTCTGCCAGTTTGTCTGTTTTCACATTTAAATGTGGTCTTTCCTTTCTTCACTATATGTTGTAGCCTGCCTATAAATTAGGACATTCAAACAAAAAAAGTCTCCTGTTCCCTGGGCAGCATCGCAGGGGCCCCTCTAGCAACAGAACAATAGTCCTGTGTTCCTATTGAGAAAAACAAAACAGTCATGACTGCTGCTTTCCCTCCTCAAAGATAAAACTCCTGGTGGAGAGCCCCGCTGTCCCTTAAGGAGTCTAGAGGACAAACATCACCTTGTTTGAGGATTTGCTTGTTTTGTTTCCTCCAGACACAGTCCCCAGTATCCCAGACTCTCTTTAAACTCCTAACCTTGAACTCCTGACCCTCATAGCACCCCCTAAGTGCTAGGAATACAGGCACCACCAGGCCTGGCTATAAACATCAGTTTTTAATCGACTCCTTTTACCTTCTTAGAAGAAAATGAATGTATTCTATACTGTGTGGCTTCATTTGACATGTATGAGGTTAAAAAAAAAACAAAAACAAAAAAAAAACAACCCACAATTCCCTAAACTCCAAAAGGCAGTCCAGATATCCAGAAATGGGCTCAGCCTGAACTATAGGAGGATTTCTGGCAGTTAGATAAAAAAGGGGAAAATGGCCACCTGTAGTGCCTATGAGCATATCAAAGCACATGCTGTCCCCCAGGCTCCCTCAACATCAGAAGCATCCATTACACATTTCAGAGTCTGTGCTCACCTCCTCAACTTCCTCCAGGTCAAGGGCATCCTTCCCCTCAGCATTCTTCTTATAATCCTGCTATTCTCACTGTTCTCTCTCTCTCTCTCTCTCTCTCTCTCTCTCTCTCTCTCTCTCTCTTCCTCTCTCTCTGCTCTATTCCTGTTTATTTTACTATGTTTTCTGTTGTTTTTAAACAAAAAATCCCAAACATTCAATTTTACCAATAAAGACTCAGGAGCCATGATTTTCCATGACTAGGTCATCATTTACAGAAACATCACATGGAAGTTTGCAGGGGTCCTCCTCCTCCTCCTCCTCCTCCTCCTCCTCCTCCTCCTCCTCCTCCTTCCTCCTCCTCCTCCTTTCTCCTCCTCCTCCTCCTCTTCTCTCATATAGTACATCCTAACCATAATTTCCCTTCCTTTTTCTCCTCTCAGCCCCACCCCAAGATTCACTTCTCCATTTCTTTTCAGAAAAAAATCAGGCCTCCCATGGATGTCAAGCAAACATCATCAAGTTGCAATAAGACTAGGCACTTCCCCTAATACTAAGGCTGGACAAGGCAACCCAGTAAAAGGAAAAGGGTCCTAAAAGCAGGTAAAAGCGTGGAAACCTGTTAGCCCAGAGAGGCAGAGAAAGCACCCAGCTGACCTTCCTACTCAGCCAACTTCCCAGAAGGAAAAAACCCTTTCTCCTTGTCCATGCTGTCTTAAATTCCCTCAGCTCAATGTTCCTCCTTTCTGTTTACTGTGCTTCTCTCTAGCTGTCCTCTGGACTTCCTCTCACTCTCTATTTTTTTCCCACGTTTACTTCCTGTCAACTGTTTGCCTGCTCTTCTTGACCTAGGGTTGACTTTATTTAATCCTGTTTAAGAAAGCTCTTGGATAAAGGTGTGTGCTACGGCTGAGCCACACCACAACTAGAAACAGGCTTTTCCAGTCCACAGTTCACAGTGTGATCACACATCCTGCAACCGTGTTCTCTCTTCTCTATCCCCTGCTAGCTCTTCTCTGTCCTGAGGATAGCACTGGCCATATCGATTCTGCTGGCCTTGTTCAGTTTACTTTCTTCTCTCTGTTCTGGGCTCTTCCAGATGCCTCTGATTACTCTCTCTTTCCTATCTACAATTAAAAACCCTCCTTTAAACCACACCATGAAGTAGTCAAGTCATCAGTTTGTACAATAGGCAGAGACTTTGTTGCAGGAGCCCTGATCCCTGAGCAGTGGTCATTTTCATGTCTCTTCCTGGTTACAGGCTATACCACTAGAGCCTGGGCACCTGTCTGCTTCAGGAGCTCTCTTTTCTTTCCTCGCCTTGTATGGCTGTCTCATGCCAGCTTGGTATATTTTTATACTGCTGGTTTGGGGAGGTGGGTCTTTAAATTTAGATTTAAAAAAAAAATCAGAATTTCCCTGGGAATCCAACATTCTTCATTTTAAAACAAATTATAGCACTAGGAACCATCACATTATCAAGTCAATGGATACACTAGTAGCTCTGCAGGAAAAAGCAGCTACAGATGTAAAATGAGAACCAAACCCACATTATCTCAAAATTAAGACAACTGCAACACTGCAGAATTGTATTGTGACCTTTCAGATAAGGTAGCTGTTCTAATGTGGGAAACCACCTGTTATTATTTGGATCTCAAATGTCCCTCAAAGACCATATGTTGAAAGCTTAGTCAGTGGCCTATAGCACCTTTGGGAGGTGGGGCCTAATGAAAGAACATTGAGTCATACAGGACACACCCGTGAAGGGATCTGGGGACTTTGGCTTGCCTTCCTTTTCCTACTTTCTTTTGCTTCCTGGATCATCCAGAGGCAAGCTCTTTCTTCTGCATCACATGTTTCCGCCATGACGCCCTGCCTTGATACAGACCCAAAAGCAACTGGGCTACATAGCTATGGAATAATACCTTGGAGACCATGATCCAGAATCAGCCTTTCTCCTTCCATTGTTTCAGGTATTTCACAGCAATCAAAAAGCTGATACATCAACCTACTATGTACAATCACCAAAGAGCTGACATTAGACTCCAGCTCTTTACAGGACCTTTCCTTGATCCCAGCTGCGACTGCTCCTACTGCTGCTACTTTCTTCTTCTTCTTCTCCTTTTTAAAAAATATTTATTTTTTATGGGCATGCATGTATGTACACCATGTGTGTACTCAGTGCCTGTACAGAGCAGAAGAGGGCATCAGAGTCAGGTCCCCTGCAAGTGGAGTTTCAGACGATTGTGAGCCACACTGTGGGTACTAAGAACAAAACCCCAGTCCTTACAAGAGACGCTCCCAGAAATGCCTCTGATCTCTGGAGGTATCAGCACTCACATGCACACACACACGTGCATACACACACAATTTAAAATATATAATATATATTTTAGGCATAGATAATGTAGCCAAGTAATGTTGTTTGAACATGAACATGATGATGTCTCTTATTTTATAGTAAGCATAGTCACAATTGTTGGGAATTTTAGAGACTATTATGCCATCCTGTATTCTGTTTCTAAGAGTGAATATATGGCAGTAACAGAGCAGCGTCCTTTGCAGCATTAAAGAGAATGCTTCTTGGAGGGGCCTTTGCTTTGGTGATCTCTATTACATATAAAGTCTACTGCAAGAAACAAGATCACAGGGATAGGTTTGTATCACATGATAGAAGGGTTTTTGTTTTGCTAGAATATAAATCAGGCAGATAATGTACTCTCCAGTCACCCTTCACTTGGCTGATGCTTTTGCCAGAAAGCACAGAGCTGCCTGTACCAGGGGCCAGAAATGACAATGAAAATGAGACTTTGATTCATATTGTCACTCATATAAATACTACAAAACACTGCAGGTACACTGCAGCCTGAAGTAAGGACGGATTGGACAGCAAAATGAGGGGCCAGTAGATACAATAATGCCTGTGTTAGGCACTTTCCTGTCACTGTGACAAAATTAGGGCCAGTAGATAGAATAATGACTGTATTAATATTTTTCTGTCACTGGGACAAAATACCTGACAGAAGTAAGTTAATGGAGAAACAATTTATTTTGCTTCATGTTTTCAGAACATCTCAGTCCATTAAAATTGAAAAGGCAAGGTGGAGCATCTCCTTCGATGTCCACTTATGTCCACGTAAGAACTAACTTACATGGCATAGATCAAACCCAGCTAAAACCTTCAAATGGGCAACAGTAGCAACCAACTTTGACCAGGTAGGTACTGGAGACTTCTAAATGGTACCACACACTGCAACCAAACACTTGACACAGGAACCTGTGGGGACATTTCATATTCAGTGTAATAATTAAGATGAATGGATGGATGGATGGATGGATGGATGGATGGATGGATGGATGGATGGACAGATGGGTGAAAAGATGATATCAGACACACAGAGACAGAGATACAGAGACAGAGAAGAGACTGTATTTGACAGACAAGCCCTTGCTACACAAGTCCCTTCAGGGCTTTCATCTGGGAGGTGACATTATTGATACACCTATAACTGTGGATTTATGAGCTCTTCTAAACAAATAAGTATAGTTTGAATATGTGGAGATAGCTCCTTCGGAGGTAGAGTAATAGGCTGCTCAGCAGGGGAAATGTCCAAGAGGTCTCCTGTGACCTGCCTGTGCTGTGTTCTAGTGAAGCATGAGTGTCATGTTGATAGGACACAGGGGACTCATTTGCTGTGTCAACTCACAAGTCTATAGCAGCTGACAGTCCAGATGGTGACTCTGTGTTGGGTAGCAGTGTCCTAAGCACTCGAATGCCTTTTCCCTGAGCATAAATGGTTCTGAAATGGTATTTTCCCATAGAATAAATCAGTTTTGTGAATGACAATGAATTCTGATTATTTCATTACTCAGGAGTGTGGATTCTGAATAGAGGACTGGTGAAAGTTTCTTTTTTGAAGAATTAGCTTCAACCTTACTTTTTTCTCTTATAAATGTGAGTCTCAACTGAAGAAAGAACAGGCTTCAAATGCAGTGGAGTTGGTAGCATGTTTCCCTGTGAGTCAGGAAACCCAGGGCTTGATCTCAGCTCTTCATAAGCCCAACATGGAGCTGCACACTGGCAAACCCAGAACCTCAGAGATACAAGGTAGGAGGAGCGCGAGTTCAAGGTCTTCCTCAGCTCCACAGTGAGTTCAAAGCCAGTCTGGACTACAAAGAAAGAGGAGAAGGAAGAGAAGGAAAGGTAGAGGAAGAGGAGGAGGGAAAAGAGAAAGAAGAGTTGTCTTTTTGTTTTTTATTTTTGTTTGTTTTTGTGGTTTTGGGTTTGTTGAGACAGAGTCTCATTAGGTAGGCCTGGCTGGCTTGGAACTCCATATATAGACTAGACTGGCCTGGAACTCTCAGAGATCCACCTGTGTCTGCCTCCCAAACACTGGGATTAAAGGTGTGTGTCTTAGTTTCATACACAACACAAAAGATCTTAGTCAAATATTTTTTTTTCTTTCTCAAGGAATGTCAGTGAGAACTCAGCTACGTGGTGAAGTAAAATGTAAATTAGCAGCTCTCCTACAGCAAACACAGCTCTCAGTCAGTGAAGGGGCTTGTGCTCTCTTGTGCCTTCACGGCCACTCATGTTAGTACTATGAGACACCCTATTTACTAGCAGCCACGACAATGATAGTCCTAAAACAATTGACTGCTGGGAGCTTTCCTGGAAAGCCATCATTCTCTGGAGAATCTCTTCACTACACGAGCCTTGCTCAACAGTGAAGCCACCATGGCATAAAAACAGAGCAGCAACTTTTACCTTCATGAGTGGATCCCATGCTTCTTTCAGGTCACCTTCTGTCAGAATATCATTTCCTTCAAAATCGTTGTTCTTTTTACTAGATTTCTTCAGCAAAAAGCATGACAAAAATTCCAGAGGTTTGTCCTGAAAAAAAAAAAAGCCAAGGGACAGTCTTGGCATTGTCCACTTTTTATTTTAAACAAAGTTTCTCATTAGTCTGGAACTCCCGAAGGTTAGTGATGCTGGCTGGCCTGAGAGGCCCGGGATCTGCCTGTTCCTCCCTCCCAGCACTTGGCTTATAAGCGTCTGCCACCGTGCCTCATGTTCCTTCACATAGGGCCTGGGAGTCATATGCAGGCCCTCGTACTTGCAAGGCAGGCAATTTCCTGCCTAAGCTATCTCCCCAGCCGACAAATCCCTTACTGTTTTCTGAAATGTACACTGCCTTCCCTGGTGGACTGTCTGAGATGCCTGTTAATACAAATGGTTCTTGAAACTCTACCAACTATCCCTGTCTCCAATGCTGGCTTGCCTATTTTATTGTTGTTGTTGTTTTCTTTCCCACCCTCTCTCATCATCCCTTTGCTCTTTGTTGTATTTTTCATGTGTTTCAGTTCCATGGCTCATGATATTTAGCTGAAATACTAGGCCATGAACATATTTTCTAATAAAGTCAATTCTAACTGAAATTAGGCACAAGATAGAAAACAGTGCACAAATTAACAGACTTTAAATAACCCAAGAGGTCTCCCTGCTTCTCTGTTTTATATACTTAGTACATCTTGAGCCCAGAATCTCTCTGTGGATGCTTTTATAAACTGATGTAATTTCTCTGAGGAACTATGTCCCAGAATGATAAACTGGTAAAAAGGTAACAAATATAAACTAAGGATTTATTTGTGCTCAAATTTTTTCCAGTTTTCTTTCTTCAACAAAACACTTACAGATCCTTCTTTTGACAGCTCCATCAGTCCCTCTGCCAGAGTCTGTGCAGTGTCTTGGTTATTTAGAAAGCTGCTCATACCCAGAGCGTCAAGCATAAATCGCCCTGAAATGTAAAGCACATTAACTTACTTCATGTAAGACATGTGCTGGTAAAGAAAACAATCACCACAGTTACTTTTTAGTGGACAACAATGCAAGGAGTGGAACCCAATTTTTACTATTACCATGAGAAGTTCTATTGTAAAATAGGAAATGAGCCAAACTAATTTCAACACCCCAAAACCGATGTTGAATGAAATATAAGAATCAAACAATAAGAAAATATGACAAAAATTCCAGAAATCATGTAAGTTAGATCCAATCGAATATCCTCCAGCACCTTCTAACATTGTGTTCAAAATGTAAATATTTTAAGTTCAGAGAAAATAGCTTACATACAAGAAATCTTTTCATTTTTTTAAGATTTACGCACTTTTACTTGAAAACTTTTTTCATTAACTTCTTACCAACATACTGCCATAAAAATACTTACTATTCCATTTTTCTATCTAATCTTTAGTATTACAAAAGAAAAGGGAGAAATTATTTCTCCTTGTTTATATTTTCTTAACTATTTAAGAATACTGGTTTAACATTTCCTCAACGTAATAGAGCAGATAGCACAAGAAGATACAGGGTGACATCTCTACTAAGAGGCATTTGTGAAGCAAGATATAGGACATGTGCTGATGGACAAAACATCTGTGTGCGCTCACACGTGCTGCTATTACTGTGCACAGCGGGGAAGGAGGCGGCACAGGTCTGCGATGTTTGAATGACACTGTGTCTTACCCAGATGGGATATGTTTAAAATGTGAAGAAAGAGTTATAGAGGAAGGGAGACATGTTTTCCCAGATGGAGAAAAGTGTTTTATTTTAAAGAACGAACTGTTTTAATTTGTGACTTAATGTTAAGACATGTATCTTTCCACAAAGATTATTATGGTAATTTGATCAAGGGAATTACCTTGAGTGGGAATGGAAAACTGATTTGGTGATGTAAAGACCATGGAGCTAGCATGAAGCTGTGTATTTGATTTTGTTGTTTAAGAAGGAAATTGTAGTATATAATTTATTTACATATTTGGAGCGGAACCCGAACGGGCTTATCTGCCGGAAGCATCTGGATGGATCATGTACTTTAGACAGATCATTGAACTGTATAACAAGCTGTGTAACGCACACTGTGAGCTACAGGTGCTTCGGGCTGGAACAAGTTGTAGTGAGAAAAGATACGGTTGCTCTAGCTGGGTAGAAACCAAGTTCTGCCCAGAGCAGACAGAGTGCCACAGGAATAATGAATGGGGAAATGTGAAAACTGGAGGCAACTCCAGCGTTCTGAACATGACTCGTATTCCTCTTGACTATTTGGAAACAAAGATGATGTCTGAGCAGGTGCGTTACAACTGGGCTGGCCCATGCCATTCTCAGTCTTGAGTTTGCGCAGGTAAGAAAGAAGCTCTGGCTTGGTCTGGAGCAGCAGCGTCTGAGACCATACCTATCATCCGGCCGCTGATGCTCGCCTGCAGGTTCTTAAAGAGCGGCTTCAACTCCGTCCTCACTGATTTCAAGGTGTCTTCCAGGAATTCTGTGAAGCTGGACCATGCCTGCAGCTTGGACTCGCTAAAGTAGTTAGAAGGAGGATTCTGACCCCGCTCTGGCCACAGCCAGTCACTGAGAACTGACAGGAGTGTGAATTTTATTATTAAAGACTTGGTTCATTCTCTCTCCCCCCCCCCCCTCAGAGCAGGTGCCCATGTGTCTGTGTGTGCACATGTGTGCACTTACATGTAGAGGCCGAGGTCCACTTCAGGCACTGTTTCTCAGGTGCTGTCCAACCTATTATTTGGGACAAGGCCTATCTACCTATCCAAGTAATTCAATGCTTGAGCTGAGGCAGATTTCTACTTCTTGTTTAAAGCACAACCAACTCAGCTGTCTTCATACTGGGCATAGTGTTCTTTCTCAGAAAAAGACACATAGTCACAGCCTGCTTTCAGTGGTAAAATAAGAAACTCAAAAAGGACACAGTGAGTGCCCGTCTGTTCGTGGCAGATAAGGCTGACATGTTCTACTTGGAATTAGAAATCAAATCTCTGCCTGGTGCTTCGGGAAGCCACGTAGATGGATGTAAGAACGGATCTCGTCGTTCTCAAAGCGAGACTTCTTCCTCCTCAGCACTTCCCGCCCCCTGCCATGCTGTGCAAGGTCAACCCACAGCAGCTACTCCTATCTCTTCCTCAAATTGGAGGGACCCAAAAGATTCAAATGCTTACAGTGGAAGTGTAAGAACATTAGCCACCTTGCAAAGAATTACAGGCTGAAACAGTAGCCCATTTAGTCTTCGTTTACCTGAATGGATGGTCAGAGCCACTTTGTTTTTCCTGTCACTGACAAGCATGTACAAAACTTTTTAATGTGTTCTTTTACAAGGAGAGTTAGAAGAAACTGAAAGGAAAAGAAACAGGAGGGGAAAGAAGTACAGCTGTTCCTTAGGGAAATAACAGGGTCCAATCCTTGCTGGGCTGAGTTAAGCAATTCTCGCCACAGAACCACAGAGCCACAGGTCTGTGTGAACTCCCGTGAACCGGCCATGTCTGCTTCAGAACTGTGTGAAGTATGAAGTCAATGTGCTTTCTGTTCCATCTATATAGAATCATTTCCCTTACAAGTGTCACAGTCTTGCCAACTTCCCCCAGCCATGGAAGGCCTTTGAGACTAAAGAATCAGTGCCCAACTTCCCCCAGTCATGGAAGGCCTTTGAGACTAAAGAATCAGTGCCCCTCCCATTTCCAAGGCATTTCAAGCCCTGTTTGATATGAACAGAAGGGTTTTAAAGGAGGAAGTGGTGAGTGACATTGCCGGATAGCCGCCTGGCTCTCTTGTCAGCCAGCCAGTGTTCTATTTTTATCCAACATTAGTAGCCTTGTTGTGTCAATGAAAGTGTACATGCAGGTGTATTTTCCCCTTTGATCCATCTTTCTTCCTGATCATGCTACTGAGTGGAATCTAAGCAAATCTTGTCTCCATCTCCTTAGAGCTACATGCTCCCAAGTAAAACCAAATCAATTCCTTTTTTTTTTTAACTGAGAAAATACACTTTTTTCCTCTAGATCAGCACCTGGACAACTTTGCTGAACTCTTGAAATAGGGTTTTAGTAAATGGTAGCTTGAAGCAAAATATTTGCAGCAAAAAAAAAAAAAAAAAATCTCCCTCTAAATGAATGACTCAATGATGTGGAATGACATGGCTGAGGAAGGGACAACATCCCTTCAGGGAGAGTAGCAATTGCTGTGGACAGAGCAGGCTAGGTATATAGCAAAGACATACAGCTGCTGTATAGCAAAGCTAGCTGTATAGTCTTTGCTAGCTGTATAGCAAAGACATACAGCTGCTGGTTGCTGAGGTAGGGAAATGAGACAGGAGCATGTTTTCTTAGTGCTTGGCCTTCAGTATCTGCCATGGCTGCATGTTACTAGGCGCACCGGCCAGCTCTAGGCGCACCGGCCAGCTCTAGGCGCACCGGCCAGCTCTCAGGTACACTTACTGTGTTGGTACGAGCCAGTCGCGATTCCAGCGGGGGCGGAGAAGAGGGTGCCAGTTAGTTGAGACAGCTGAGAAAGAATTTCTATGCCCGCTTCTGCACAACCAACAATGCCTGCATTAGTGTACTCACAGGCTTCTCCCGAAGCCGTCAGATGTTACTTAGAAGCCTGAAAGAGCTGGCCGTGAACGAGCACAGGCAATTGTCATCTTCAATTAAAACCCACTGATCAAGAGCCCATTAACGTCTCGCCTTTATCCCCACAGCAGATGTCCAAACACCTAATTTTTGAGAAGCAATAAGATGTGGAGAGAAGGCACACAACAAGAGCAAATACTTATATTCAACTTCAGAATACTTAAGCCAAAGACAGAGAAAACCTCACAGGGGTTTCCTAAAATAATCTGAGTAAAAGGAGAATTGTGGTTGAAAGTGGACAGACTTACCACAGATAATCACAAGATGGAACAAAATGATCAAAAATTAACACGGCATTAATTTCTCCCCTTCTGCTGAGTGTACTGGTGCATACCTTTAAGCCCAGTACTTGGGTGGCAGAGGTAGATGGATCTCAAAGTTCGAGGTCATCCTGGTCTATAGAACAAGTTCCAGGATGGCCAGGGCAATAGAGAGAAACCCTGTCTTAAATTTTGTTCTCCCCTTATTCAGATTGGAATATGTATGTGGATTATTGGATACAGTGAATAGATTAAATTACTTGGGAAGAAACTAAATATGTAATGGATGTGTTATTTTAATTCTTTATGGTCCAAAAATAAATACCCAAATTGCTTCTTAGAACAAGATGGTGGAAGCAGATGGGCTTATATGCCTAATGTTTTCATTGATAATGAAGTCAGATAGAGAGTCCACAGTGGGCTGAAATCCATATAATCAATAGATTGCAGTAAACTTGCAAATAAAAATCATAGGGAAAAGAACAGTCTTCCTTAAAAGAAATGGTGCTGGAAAAATAAAATACCTATTGGAATAAAAAATTAATTAAATAATATGATGCTAAAAACATAATTACAAAAGTAAAGATAATAAATTTGATTTCAACAAAATTAAGAAGTTCTGCTGGTCAGAAGAAACTATTTAGAGAAGGAAAACGTAAGTCATAAACTGGAAATTCAATCTACTTTTCAAAATGTGAAAGATATATAAACAGACAGTGAGGAAGATACATAAATTGTGGATAAATACATAAAAAGATGTTCAGCATCTTGACTTGCTAAGAAACTGCAAATTACAACCACCATGAGATGCTTCTGTATCTACTTGAATGGCTAAAACTAAAACAAGTATCACAGGGCTGGGCAACTCAAGTTCTCAGACATACTCTCTAGAAACATAAAAGTGTACAACTACTTTGAAAAACAGGTTAGCCTGCTTTGTAAAAGTTAACTGTGCACCCTGGGGTCTTGTATACCTTAGAGACGTGGATGCATATTTGCACAGATCCTCACAGCAACTTCACTTATAAAATACTTTGAATAGATGAACAAATTATAGTATTCTGTGTAATGGTATTTCATGCAATAATTACAGTGATGAAAAGGAATGAGCCACTAATTTGTTATGTTAAATGGGTTTGCTTGTGATACACTTCAGAAACACACAACACAGTATCACAAGGAGACATGACTCCTGCCATTCTAGAGTGTTTTTGACGCTGACCTGATGCTCCCAGTGGCACAAAGAAGTCTACACGTCCCCCTTCTTCTTCAGTGGCCACACAGCTTCCTAGTTTCTCCCAGAAGTCTCTCACTTCAGGCCACAGTAAATTTTTAGTACAAATTTTATAGCCTAAGGGGGAAAATATCAACATTGGGTTGTTACCTCATCATAAACAAGAATTGTTAGCTGTTCGTGAAAATAAAATCACAAATCCAAAACCCAGCATTTGACCACCAAACCAAGCACTCCAGTGTATCCACACCTCATGGTAGGGCCACAAAAAGTGCCACTGAAAAGCACTGTGGCCACAGGATCCTTCGCAGTCTGGATTAATAAAGTATTATACATTTATGTTTAGGACATTGTATTTCTGCCTCCAACACAAAGTTTAAATTGAATAGCCAGTCAAGTCTTAGGATCTTGCAACTAATTTCCAAAGCTGAAAAAGCTCCCACAACCATCAATGAAAAAAAATGGCTGAGCAGGCAAGGCTCCCAGAGTTAGCAGCCACCTCAAACTCTACTTGTACTTCCTTGGGAATGATTTATGACTCATTGTGCCATTTTGCAAAGTTCCCCGGAAGCAGGAGTATCTGAGTTATTTCCTCTTTCCTCATCCCACATGGATGGAAGGTTTACAATTAATAAAATTAAAATAATTCTGCTTTAGGTATAAGAAAGGGAGAATGCAAACTTATACATGAAGGATAGACTCTAAAGGTTCATTAAAAGGCATTCATTGTCTCCTCTCTCCCTAAAAGAGGTAAACATTGATGAGAGTTTTAAACCTCCCATAACAAGTTAGTTATGTCAGCCATTCCTTCCCAGTCTGCTTTGAAGTACAAGCCAAGCAGAGTTCTTCAGAGGTGGCAAGTGCACACCAATTATCCATCTTGGTGTTCACTGCTACTGTGATTACTGAACCTTCATCAAACTTATAACTTTTGTACATCAAAAGAAAGAGCATAATGATACCTATAAGTCATGGTTTGAATGAGAATGGCCCCCATAGGCTTACATAATTGAATGCTTAGTCACCAGAAGGTGGCGTGGCGCTATTTGAAAGGATTAGAAGGATTAGAAAATGTGGCCTTGCTGGAGGAAGTGTGTTGCTGAGGATCTGAGGTTTCAAAAAGCCCATGCCATTCTTTCTCTGTTTACAGATCAGGATGAGGCTCTCAGTGACTTTGCCAGCATCACAATCTGCCTGCCTGTTACCATGCTTCCTGCCATGATGATAATGGACTCACCCTCTGAAACCATAAGCAAGTTCTCAATTAAAGGCTTTCTTTTATAAGAGTCGCCTTTGTTGTGGTGTCTCCTCATAGTAATAGAACAGTGACTAAGACACTCTAGAAGGGGAGAAACACTTGCAAATCACCTATCTGATAAGGAGTTAGCATCCATAACATACAAAGAATATCTTGAACTCAACCTATACAAAATCAGCCCACTTTTCAATGAGCAAAGGCTTGTTTTCATAAAGAAAATACACAAATGGCCAGCTAGCACATGACAGATGTTCAGCAACACTCATCAGCAGAGATGTGCAGATCAAAATACAATGAAATTAGAAACTGTATAAAAGAAAACAAACAAACAACAAAAACGTGTAACAAATAAATGGCACAGAGAACTTTGTATGCTTGTACACCGTTGATAAGAAAAAGTTATTTTTAAAAAAAGAAGAAAGGCTTTTTAAGTTAAAAAGAAAGCCACCATCTCATACTAGTAAGTATATTTCCGTAACTGTGAAAGCAAGAACAAAAGAGGTTTGCAGTTATTCCCGACAGCCAAGAAGTAGAAACAACCCAAATGAACACCAGCGGATAGAGCGAGAAACAAACTGGATCACCTACACGGAGTAGATTAGAAGTAGGACTTAAAGCAGAAACAGTCAGTGGGTACAGTGTATGAATCCTGAGAGTACAAGTGAAAATGCCAGTCACAAAAAGACAAAGCAAGTGGGTTAATTTACGTGTTTAAAGGATTCAATGGTTATCAGGGAGCAGGGCTAGGGGAGGAAGACAGGTGTTATTTAACAAAATGTTTCAATTTTTGCAAGATGGAAAAGCTTTACAGGAATGTGAATAAACTGAACATTTCTAAAGGATTATGGTAGTGATGTTATGCTGTGTTTTAATCACTATATTTAAGATTATCATCAAAAGTTGTTTTACTTTCTTTATGAAGACAAAAATGAATGCTTGCTAGGGAATCAGAACTTAAAAGTGCTGTGGAAGTCATCCTTAAGGATAAGCGCTGCCGTCACTAAAGCTGCGTGGTTGTTCTCCTCCAATCCCCAGACCAACCTTGGAGTAAGTCTATTTCTCTGCTGTTTCCACTGCTGAATATTCCTAGGCTCTGTGCCTTCCGTCCCTGCAGAGCTCTGTCTGTGAGATGAAGCAGGCCCTCCAGTGTCACTCCGCTGTGCTCGTATAGCACAGCCACGACGCCGACCTTAACGCTCTCCATCACCATCTAGAAGTGAGAAGGAGGCGTCGGTGTGTGTGAGCTTTACAATCCATCAAAGAACCGAGCTGATGTGCAATATTCTGTCACCACTAAGGAATTGTTTCAGAAAGTACAGAAGGAAGAAACTAAACTTCTGCTAGTTTCTTTTTTCTTCTTTAATTCTGAGGAAAATATGAGGTTCATTTGCAACTCCATCTTTGTACACACCAGACATATATAAGCTCATTAAAAACAATAAAATTGAATTAATACCATTTTCAATGGCCTTCTTAAGTAGAACTAAAAATCTTCTAATTATATATATAATTAAAACATATAACTTCATTTCATTTTATTTATTTTTATATTTTGAGACAGAGTTTACTATATAGTCTTAGCTTGCTTGATACTCTTTATATGGTCCAGGTTGGCTTCACACTATCCTGCCTCAGCCTCATAAGTGCTTGGATTACAAGTAAGTGCTACAATAGACAGCTATAAAATTTCATGTAATGAGGATCATATTTTAATTAAATGGCACCATTTTAAAATAGAACATGAAGTAGCACTTCTAACCCACTTTTGAAAATCATTGGTCCCAGAATGTTATTAAACTTCTTGGGAATTCTAGAAGAGCCTTAACTATTTTTAACCATCATGCTGGGTGTTTTTTTAAGCGGAACAAATTCAATGCAGTGGGTATGTTTTGACACTAACTGCATGAACAGCAAGTTGGACCTCTCATGCTTTTCAAAATAAGTTTGGTTACTTTTATTTTTATTGCTTTTAATTTTTAAAACTGTGTGGGGTCTCTAAATGTTCACTTGATTGGACAATTTTCTTTTCAAAAGATGAATCATTTTCATACACATGGCAGCCAAAAGATTGTGATAGACTAGAAAAAAAGCCACTTGGTAGAGGGCAAGCCTCCTAGCACAGCAATACCTCATATGCAGGAATCTGAGATGATATTAGGATGATACGTGGTTGCAAAGCACAGGAAGAGTTGTCATTAGTTCTGCCAACCTCATGATGATTTTTCTTTATTAAAGAGTAAGAGTGACTCCCAGATAGATGGCTTCTGTAGAGGACAAGAGGATGGATGAAATCCTAATGTTCTGTTAACACGACTTTTTTTTTCATCTCCAAATTATGTATTTCATCATATATATGAAACCTTTACAGAAAGTAGCAACTCGCAGCATCTGAACGTAATCTTAACACAACTTTTGAAAGCTGCCAATATCTTCTGAAGACTGGTGGGCAGCAAAGGTCCACTGTCTCTGCATCCTTAGACTTTCCTAGCAGTCTGAGGAACAGGAATAAATAGGAGTCCGTGGTTGAGCAGAGCCAAATCTGCCCCATTGGTCTCTCTCTGTAAAGCTTCTTGACACTCACTTAGCTTTTATTGGGCTCTTAAAAGAAATACTATGATACACCTAAAGGCTCAAAACTGTATTTAAAAAGGGGAGCCCAGCAATTCCTAATTCACTTCTGGCCGTTAGGGGTTCTTGAGTGATGTCTCCATTCTCTTCCAATCCCTACCCCCCATTTACCAAGGACAAGAGGCACCCTATGCCTCTTAAAAATGTGCCTTCCCTGAAACATAATTCCACACTCACAAATGTTCAGACACAGATATGCATGTGGTGTTGGTGGTGAGGCTGAAGGAATGTTAGAATATAAGAATTTAGGTCCCAGTGTTTATGACAGTTAGGTGAGTTGTATCACCTGTCTTTAGTGTCTTCATCAAAACTTTAGTGTCTTCTTCTGAAACATAAGTGTACAATACAAAGTGAAAAACAAAACAAAGTTTTTTCTTAGTTTCTAAGCATCTGTGAAAGTTGTGGATGTTACAAACATCAGCTAATATAGGTAGAGAGATGAAGAACTGAATCCTGACACTGTCATCATGTATTATGACTTGGGTCACTGAAAATAGCCAGAGTATTGTGTTTAGGTTTACAAGTATAAATGGAAGTTTTGTTCAAATCTGTTTGGATGCTGCTACAAATTTGGATCTGCAGTTTTCCTTGAGTATTAAAGGCTTGGTCACCAGTCCATGGTGCTATTGGGAAGTGGGGAAGATTTAGGAGGTAGGCTTAATGGAAGGAAGTTGGTCATCTTGGCTCTTAACGGGAATAATGGGACCCTAGGCTCTTCACCTTTTCTTCTTCATTTCTTGGGCACCATAGAGTGAGTAAGCCTCTCCTGTCATATGCTTCCACCATGATGCACTGTGCTACTCCACACCCAAAGCACGGGAACCAAGTGGTCATGAGGCCACATGCTAGAATAAGCCTTTCTTCCTTCCAAGTTTATTTATGTCAAGCATTCACTAGAACAATATAAAGATGACTAACAAACACACTGTGTGGTTACTTTTATTCCATAAAAAATGTAGGGAAATGTCATTTTTGCTTAACTGCTTTAGAAAATGTATGACATACAATATAAATTTACTAGAGGGTTAAAATATTAAACATGTTTTGAACATTATATATTTTCATCTTAAGAAAGTATTTAAAGACTGCTATTCTTGAACATTAAATCATTAATTTTTGTGTGACAACATAGAATATGAACCATACAATTACTAAAGATTCCTATGTTGGCTAAATAATCCTATGATGAATTCATGGTGACACAGGAAGGTCCTGAGCCCCCGATAGGTAGAAATTTGCTTACTGCTTGGACAAAGCATCTAAAGATGTATGAACAAACTGTCTCTCCAGTGTTTCATCGAGCCTAGCTCCATGTCTCTGCAGATGAGGACCACCAGGCGGGCTCGTGCATTTCCGCAACCTGGAGCAGCGTGTTCCACTCAGCCAGGGGGGTCGAGCTTTGAGTAACTCCTCTAAAAAAGTGAACAGAGGAACATCGAATGGCCGAGAAACACTTAAAGAAATGCTCAACATCCTTAATCATGAGGGAAATGCAATCAAAATGAACCTGAGATTTTACTTTACACCCATCAGCATGGCTCAGATAAAAAACTCAAGTGACAACACATGCTGGAGAGGATGTGGAGAAAGGGGAATCCTCCTCCACTGCTGGTGGGAACGTAACCTTGTACAACCACTCTGGAAATCAATCTGGTGCTTTCCCACACAGTTAGGAATAATGCTACCTCTAGATCAGCTATACCACTCTTAGGCATACATCCAAAATATGCTCAAGTATACAACAAGGGCATTTCCTCAACTATGTTCGTAGCAGCTTTATTTGTAATAGCCAGAAGCTGGAAACAACCCAGATGTCCCTTAACGGAGAAATGGATACAGAAATTGTAGTACATTTACACAATGGAATACTACTCAGCAGTCAAAAACAAGGAAATCATGAAATTTGCAGGCAAATGGCAAGATCCAGAAAAGATCATCCTGAGTGAGGTATCCCAGAAGCAGAAAGACACACACAGTATATGCTCACTTGTAAAAGGATACTAGTCCTATAATATAGGATAAACATACTAAAATCTGTATACCTAAAGAAGTTAGCTCAGTAACCAAGTAGTTTTCCAAAGTAAGGGGAACACGGACTATTTCTAACAGGATCTCAAGGGCAGGCTGTTTGACCCCCCCCCCAGGGGAGGAGCAGTCTGTTAAGCCACAGAGGAGGACTTTGCAGCCAGCCCTGAAGATACCTGATAAAACAGGGTCAGATGAAAGGGGAGGAGGTCCTCCCCTATCAGTGGACTTGGATAGGGGCAGGGAGGAGACCAGGGAGGGAGTGTGGGGTTGGGGAGGGAATGAGGGAGCGGGATACAGCTGGGACACAGAGTTAACAAAATGTAACTAAAAAGAAAAATAAAATAAAAAAAAATGTAACTGATGTAAGAAAAAATAAAATTAAAAAAAAAAAAAAGAAGCTAATCAAGAAGGAGGACCCTGGGTAAGATGATCAATCCTCATCAGAAAGGCAAATGGATGGACATTGGAAGATGGAGAAAACAGGGAACAGGATAGGAGCCTACCACAGAGGGCCTCTGGAAGACTCTACTCAGCAGGGTATTGAGGCAGATGCTTTGACTCATAACCAAACTTTGGGTAAAATGCAGGGAATCTTATGAAAGAAGGGGGAGATAAAAAGGAAGGAGGAGACAGGAATTCCACAAGGAGAGCAACAGAACCAAAAAATCTGGGCCAAGGGGTCTTTTCTGAGACTGATACTCCAACCAAGGACCATGCATGGAGATAACCTAGAACCCTTGCATAGATGTAGCCCCTGGCAGCTCAGTGTCGGTACCCTAGTAAGGGGAACAGGGGCTGTCTCTGACATGAACTCAGTGGCTGGCTCTTTGATCACCTCCCCTTGGGGGTGGGGGATGGCATCCTTACCAGGCCACAAAGAAAGACAATGCAGCCAGTTCTGATGAGACCTGATAGGCTAGGGTCAGATAGGCTAAGAGGACCTCCCCTATCAGTGGACTGGGGGAGGATCATGGGAAGAGAAGAGGGAGGGAGAGTGTGATTGGGAGTGGACAAGGGAGGGGCTACAGCTGGGCTACCAAGTGAATAAATTGTGCTAAATAAGTTTAAAAATGCAAAAAAAAAAAAAAACCAAAAAAAAAAAAAACAAAAAACAAAAAAACCCAAAACCCCAGCAGCAGGCTTAATGTTTACTTCATACTTTCCACAACCAAACTGTCGTAGAGCAAGGCATCAAGGAAGCTATGCCAGGGCAATATTCAAAATGACAATAATTATATCCACTTGTACACACTCCAATAGTATTTTTTATTTGCTATCTGTTATTTTGAGTCAATCAACAAAGTTCAGAGAACAAGACATTCTTCTTGTGGGGACCAGATAATCAGCCCATAGGTTCCCATCCCTTTCTGTCCTTGGCTGGAGGTAACATCTCTGGGAAGTTTCAATCTTCCCAGGGAAGAGTCAGGGAAAAGATAAAGGGAGCCCAAGTTAGTTGACAGTGTAAAATCATGTGCACATCAGAGGCTTCCCTGAACACATGGCGTCATCCCTGGTTTATTCTTGCTCTTTTCAGAGCAATTGCTCCTCTTGCTCTCTTTCCCATGGTCACTCTTTTCACCAGTCCAGAACTTACTTCTTGTTTTTTGCCTATGTTTGCACTTCCTCCTCCTTTTATGTGGTGAGGGGAAGGGAGTGGGAGAAGCCATATGCATGTATACAAGTGTGTGCACAGATGTATGGGTTCAAGCACACCAGCAGAGGCTTGAGGTTGAGTCAGCTATACTGTCTGTCCAGGAAGCTCCCAGAATCCTCCAGTCTCTTCCTTCCTGAACTGGGATTACAGTGCACATGCACCATAGCTCAGATTTCCCCCACTGTGTAAGTTCTGGCAATTTTCTCTCAGGTCATATGAGAGACATATGACAAGTATGTCAGCAACTGAGCCATTTTACAGGATCCTTTCCTTGTTTATGCTCTTACAAACCTGAGAGGAGGTAGGCAGCTGTGGAGGTGAATGTTTGTTCTGAGATACATCATCTAAAATCTTTTTTTTTTCTATTACCGATTAACTGAAAGTACAAAATCAAGGAGGGCAGAAGCTGGCTTTGAGCACGTGTTGAGGAGTAGCTCCCGTGCTCTCTCTATGGGAGTCTGTATGTAAACCTGTTTGTTCGGTGTCTGGATAAAACAGAAATCTTTATAATGCGGCTTACTCTTATGGAATGCAATTTTCTCCCAAATCATTTTTCTTAGGTACTTTTCTCTTTGTCTCTCCTGGAGCTCCTCATCTTCTGTTGTGGGTTCATTCAGTGTTCCATAGACAGCAGCAGCTTCCCTGGGTGTCAGCCAGTCCAGGCTGGAGACACAAGCAATGTAGTGGTGCTTCCAAGCTCCGTATTCATTCTGTGTTGGAGTATAGGGCAAAAACCATCCGAACTTAGTGCATTTAGGCATCCATAGGCAATCCTTCAGGACAGAACAAAAGAAAGATGAGTGACACATGTCTAAAGGGTAGTTTTCCAATGGTAATAGTTTCAGGCACACACACATTACTTTTTCTTGGACTGACATTTCTAGTATTGTTGGCTTAATGTCTAAACTTCAGTCTGGAAAAGTATAAACTGTATTTTATTCCATATGAAGAATGTTCTTGGTGAAGATATTACATCATGTATAAATATGTTTGTATATGTATGCATATATATGCCATCTTGTGACAGTTATCCAGCATTGCTACAGCATCCTATTACTTTAACTCCAGATTATGAGAATTCAGGTATAATAGTTTTCTTCAGACCAACCCTCTCACAGAGAAGAGTTTTTTATTGAACTCATATTATATTGCCAAATTGCAACAATTCTGGCATATTAGAAATAGTGAATTTCGGAGGAGCCGGTGGTGGTTTGGAGTGTGGGTCACAGGGCAGAGATGTGGTTCAGGATTTTTCCTGGCCTTGCTGTCATGGGGGAGTGCTTTGTGTGCATTCACAAGTACACCAACAGGGGCCAGGTAAAAAGAGTGGCCCAACTTCAGTGCCAGGGGTATTTGATGGAATGAGATAGATGTGTCTCTGGGGTCAATCACTACCATGTGTCCAGGGGCCTGGAGAACATTGACTAAGGAAGCATTTTCCTGGTTGATGAAAAAAAAAGTTCTCAGCTATGGTCACCTGTTCCTGCTAGCAGGCTATGCAGCATATTGTATACAATGTGCATGTTATGCGACACTTAATAAAGATTTAAAAAGTAGTGAATTTCATGTGGTTCACTGAAATCACAATCTAGACAAAATATAAAAACAATTAAGTTAGACACAATGGTGTGCTCTCATGAACCTATATAATTCCAGGTCCTTGTGAAACTGGGTTAAAAGGTGCTCTATGAGCCCAAGAGTTCTAGGGCAGCCTGGAAAACATAGCAAGACCTTAAAAAGACAGACAAACAGTGTGTGTGTGTGTGTGTGTGTGTGTGTGTGTGTGTGTGTGTGTGTGTATGCATTCTAAAACTACCAGTGCAGTAAAAACCTTGTGCCCTCAAGATCTCAGAACAAGGGGGCTGGAGAGATGGCTCAGAGGTTAAGAGCACTGGCTGCTCTTCCAGAAGTCCTGAGTTCAATTCCCAGCCACCACATGGTGACTCACAACCATTTATAATGTGATCTGATGCCCCCTTTTGGCGTGCCAGTATACATGTAGATAGAGCAATCATTATTACAAAAAATCTCAGAACAAAAGGAAACCAGACTGGCTATAATGCATTTACCAGGTGTTTTTCCATTCACTATACAGCATAACTGAGAATGACCCTGAAAGTCTGACCTTCCTGCCTCAGTCTCTTGAGTGCCGGGATTACAGATGTGCACCACCAGCCCTGAATTATGTAGTGCTGGGGACTGAACCCAGAGCCTGAAGAATGACAAACACTTTGTAACTGAGTATTTCCTCAGTCCACAATTGCCAGTTTCAAAGTGAAATGTGCTTAGGCTGAGAAGCAGATCACGAGGCTGTGACTCAAGGACTCTAAAGGAGCTCTAAAGAAGCAGGGATTCTCACATGGAAAAAAGAAGAGGATTCAGAGTTCACGAGAGTAGAGCCCGGTCATCACGGGGTTCCAGCTGAGAGTAAGGCTGAGTTACACAAACTATCATACGGACTGAGGCTGGCTTTGAAATGGCTCGTTCCTGGGTGGGATTTGCACAGTCGGTTACTAGCTTGATCCACCTTAGAAGCAGAAATTTTCCCTGTAGGAAGATGACGTCATCCAGAGACCCAGATGGTGACATCAGCATTTTATACCCAATACCTGCACTCAGCCAAAAATGTTTAAATACCCTGAAAGACTGACAATTTTGTTTGTTTTTCAGTTATTAGTAACTACAGAGAGTCCTGAAGAAGAGCTAAACATTGTTATGAGAACAAACTTTGAAAAAATCTTATAATTAAAATGCACAGGAATAATAAGGGACCAAGTGGAAAATCTTGGTAATAGAAGCAAACCAACATTCTAGGTCTGGAAAATATAATAACTTAATCTTAAAATTTAACAAATAGACTAGAGAAATTAGAATCCAGCAAACGAAACAGAAGACTGAAAGATAGATCAGAAGAAAATTCAGACTTAACCACTGGAAAACCAAAATGATGGAAGATTCACATAAGAGACTATGGGGCCAGTTTTGGTGATGCATGCTTATAATCCTATCTCTCAGGAGGCATACACATAGATAGACATACAAACACATGTAATTAAAGAATACATACATGTAATTAAATATCATAAAAATAAAATCTTAAAAAAAAAAAATAACTTGCCAGGTGGGGTGGCAAATGCCTTTAATCTCAGCACTCAGAAGGCAGCGGCAAGCAGATCTCTGTGAGTTTGTGGCCCGCCTGGTCTACAGAGCAAGTTCCAGGACAGCCATGGCTACACAGAGAAACACTGTATCAAAAAACAAGGCTGAGCATGGTGGCACACATCTTTAATCCCGGCACACATCTTTAATCCCAGCACTCAGGAGCCAGAGACAGACAGAACTCTGTTCCAACTCTAGAGTTGAAAGCCAGCCTGTTCTATAATCAAGTTCCAGGACAGCCAGAGCACAGAGAAACCTTGTCTCAGAGAGATAGGTAGATAGATAGATAGATAGATAGATAGATAGATAGATAGATAGATAGATAGATATAGATAGATGGATAGACAGACAGACAGATAGATACAAAATAATAAGGAATAATAATATATGGGGAACATTTTAAAGTACTTAAGGGGATTTATTACATGTAGATGCATCATTTGATATTAAGGTTTTGGGCAGCTGTGATTCTGCTGTTAAATAGCAAGAGGAATGGGATGCATCCAGTATGCTACAGGGAGTCAGCAACTATATATTCATTATGCATGTATAGATATGCACATAATAAAATTATACGACAAGAGCCGGGTGGGATAGACTAGGGTCAGATGGAAGGGGAGGAGGACCTCCCCTATCAGGGGACTAAGGAAGGAGCCTGGGAGAAGAAGAGGAAGGGAGAGCAGGATTGGGAGGGGATTAGGAGGGGGCTACAGCTGGAATACAAAGTGCAATGAATAAATAAAATTTTTTTAAAAAGCAAAAAATTATAAAGACAGTAAATATATATAGTCGTGTGTGTGTGTGTGTGTGTGTGTGTGTGTGTGTGTGTGTGTGTCAAGAAAGGCACAAAAACAGAGGGAGTAATAAACACTTTAAAGGATCTAAGATCCTTGCACTGTGCTCAGAATGATCAGATAATACAGAGGTATATTATGATCTCTGATAATAAAAAATATTTAAAACTTTGAAATGAACAATAAAAATATTTACACAGTCTAAAGTAAGATTTGTGTAGAAGAAGAAGAAAACATGAGAGAGAAATGAAAACTCAACAGAAACTGCCTAGCACGCAGGAGGTGGAGGAAGTATAATCTGAAACTCAGTCTTCCTCTGCTTCAGAACAAGCTTTAGCTCTAAGCAGCCTATAATGCGTGAGACCTTGCCTCAAAAGACTACATTTATGAAAAATAAACAAAACTAGAAAGATGGTGAGTTTCAACCCAAACATGAATATATAAACATATATAATACTTTGACTAAAAATCAGCGTTGGGGCTCAGTGAGTGAAGAGCTTCCTACACAAGCATGAAAACCTGAGTTTTGATCCCCAGAATGTGTGTGCTGGCTGGTTTTATGTCAACTTGACTCAAGCTGGAGTTGTGTGAAGGAGGGAAAGCCTCAATCGAGAAAATGCCTCCATGACATCTGGTTGTAGGGAACTTTCTTAATTAGTGATTGATGGGAGAGCACCTAGCCCCTGTGGGTCCTATCGTCCCTGGGCTGGTGGTCCTGGGTTCTATGGAAAGCAGGCTGAGCAAGCGTGGCAAGCAAGCCAGTGAGCAGCACCCTCCATGCCTCTGTATCAGCTCCCACCTCCAGATTACAGCCCTGCCTGAGTTCCTGTACTGACTTCCTTCAGTGATGGACTACTGTGTGGAAATATAAGCCAAATAAAGCCTCTCCTCCCCAACTTGCTTTTAGTCATGGTGTTTCCTCACAACAATAATAACCCTAACTAAGACACCATGTACAAATGGCCACAGTTGCACATGTCTGTAATGTCAGAGCTCCTACAGTGAGATGAGCGATAGGGACAGAGAATTCCTGAACCTCACAGGAGGGCCCAGCAGTAAACATTAAAGACCAAGTCTCAAACAAGAGAGAAGGTGGAGACCAACACCTGATCTTCTACCTCCACATAAGCACTGGGCCACGGGGCCACTGGGCCATGCCCCCATTACATGCATACACAACTAAAACCAAAGCAAGCTTGTGCACAGAGGTCACAGCACAGGGGATGTATGCTAAGCATTCTTGCTTAGAATATATGAGGTCCTGGGTTCACTTCTCTGTACCCTAAAAACCAAAAGTACATAAAAAAAAAAAATCAAAGACTACCAAATGCTGAACAACGAAGAAAGCATTATCACCATGTTCTCTTTAGAGGGCATATGTTAGGTGTGTGATTACAGAAAAGCCTCCAAAAGTAAACATAAATAAACAATGGGTTAAGTCAGTGTGCCTGAGTCTGAGGAACCTAGCAACAAACCATAAACCAAGAGACTTTAGTTTATGCATGAGGCCTTCACTAAGCACCAGCTAGTCTTTATTTTTTATTTTCATTTAGTTTTATAATTATGTCCATTGGTATGTAGATGTCAGATCCTTTGGAAATGGAGTTACAGACAGTTGTAAGCTGTCATGTGTGCTGGGAATTAAACCCAGGTCCTTTGGAAGAGCAGACGGTGCTCTTAACCACTGAGCCATCTCTCCAGCCCACCAGCTAGTCTTTAAAATGAAGATCTGGACACAGTCAGCCCTGGACATGAGCAGTCTCATGAAAAAACAAGAGACACAACTAGAACATGTCTGCAATTTCATAATTTAAAGGCAATGAAGAGACGCCTAGACCAGAGGAGGAAGCAATGGCAGATGTTGATTTCAGCTGCTGTTATATTTCCCAGCAGATATCAGCCAAGGATTCAGTAGAAGCTCCAATTATATATCAATTTTCCAGAATTGAATTATCATGAATAAATAATATCATATAAAAAGCAAATCTCAAAACATTTCCATAAAGAATAGCAAGCTTCTGTTGATGAAATATTTTTTAAATACATTGAATAATTCACACGCAAGATAAAAAAAATAAACTACTGGAATTGTGTATGTAGCCATAATTATAAGATGTTACTGGGGCTGGTATTGGCTCAGTGGTAGAGTGCCGACAGAGCATGTGTGAGGCCCTGGCTTTGGTTCCCAGTATGAAAACCGAGGGGGAAAACAACACAACAACTTCCAAATAAAAAATAAGTTACTGAATTCCATTTATCTCCATTTTAAAAATGTGTGTGTGTGTGTGTGTCTGTGTGTGTGTGTGTGTGTCTGTGTGTGTGTATCCATGTGTATGAGTACAGAAAAGTGAGTACCAATGGAGGTCAGAAGACAACTTTGGGAGTTGGCATTTATCTTCCACAATGTTTGAGACAAGGTCTCTCCTTTTCACCATTGCATACATCAAGCTAGCTGGCCCATGAGTTCCCAGGGATTCTCCTGTCTCCATCCCCAACCTTGCTGTAGGAGGCCAGGGATATATATTATAGATGTGTGCTGCCTGCTTATTTTTCCATCAGTTCTGGGGATCAAACTCAGGTCCTCACACTTGTACAGCAAGTGCCTTTAGGCACTGAACTAGCTTCTCCAAGCCCAAGGGGCTCTATTGCCCAAGGGGCACTTTACTATGTTCAGGCTCCCTCCGTTATTACTTCAGGGAAGAGAGTCATCCTGATTGACCCATTACACTTATGGTTGCTTTTGTGTCCCATTACTAGGAAGTGAGAGAAGTAGAGAGGAAGAAACCTGTTCTGTTAGAAACTTCCAGGGCCAGCTGACTTGAGCAGCTGCACACAAGTCTTTTGGATTCAGAAAGGAAAAGATATAAAGAGAAATGAAGCGTGGTAACACTGTCGAGAAATCCACTCTGGCCACCTGCTTCCTTTCTGAAAACCAGTCTTGGATGAACCTACAAAGAAAGACACAGAAACTTAGTTCCTAATACCATAAAGATCCTGTAAAGACACCAGTCATTGTTATTTTTCAATGTTCCACTATAAAGTGGTTAAATCAGGGCTTAAGAACTGGTAGTATGCCTTCATAACATAAGCAAGGTCCTGAGTTAGATAGTAATGATTGCATATAAATAAATATGTCTATATGTATGTGTGTATGTGTATATGGATATGCATATATGTATATATATAATGTGGATGTTTTGTGCACTCGTGTGTATGCATGAAGAGCTAGGAGAGGACATCATATCTCTTGGAACTGGAGTTAAAGAGGTTCTGAGCCATCCTGTGGGTGCTGGGAATCAAACATAGGTCCTCTGAAAAGTCAGCCAGTGCTCTTACCCTCTGAGCTATTTCTCTACCAGCTGTTCTCAACCTGTGTTGTGGTTCCTTTGGCAGACCCCTATCTCCCAAAATATTTGCATTATGATTCATACAAGTAGCAAAATGAAGTATCAACAAAAAGAATTGTCTTGCTTGGGGTCACCACCACATGAGGAACTGTACTTAAGGGTCACAACAACAGGAAGGTTGAGAGCCCCTGCAAGTCTAGCCCCACTTGTTTCTTTCTTTTCTTAATGACATTTTAAGTCAGCATGCAAAGCATTGTGTGCCATATGGTATTTTCATTTAGCCTCTGTCCTGTCTCTGTCCCTCTTCCATCCCTTGCTTTCCTTTGATGGTCTTCTCTCTCCCCCAAATAGTACCTCTTTAGCTCTCATGTCAGACATATTTCCACACTCCCCACTAAAATCGCTTCTTCCATTCTCATGGTCCCATTTCTAGTTATATAACCTTTACAAACAGGTGTGCACACTTGCATGTGTGTGTACAGCTTAACAAATGACTGTCATCTTCATACATTGGTGATAAAACTCTGCAGTGCTAGGCCGCCAGAGAGGTGGTTGTCTTTGAGTGTCTACTGCTGGAGTAGAAAGGGTTGGAATAATCCAGGCAGCAGGATCTCCAGCTTTCCCCTGGCACCCCGGCTGGAAACTCAGAGTTCTGCTAATCAAGAACCTACCACAACACATGTCAAGGCCTTTGGCACTACAGAATTTTCTCCCACTGCTAAATGGCCACTACTACCCAATTTCATCAGGTTCCAATGGACACAGATGAGCTCATCAAAACAAAAGTGCTACGAGCAAACCCCATCCTGCAGTTAAATTTCAGGGGGTAGCTTAAGCTCAGCACATTTCATAGAAATGGAAACGGCTGAACACCTGTGCCACCTAGAAGAGGTCTTGACCTCTGCTTTACCAAAATTGCTGGTTCAGTCTGGAGCCTCACCTACAAGAGGCCAAACCGGAAAACAGGAAGGTTCCTTAATAAAATCACCTACCATTAAGAGAGTCAGCTCCATTCAGCATGATAAAGAACATTTGCTAAACCATCATGTTGGATGCTCTGTGCAACACTCTGAACTTCAAGTGGTCCAAACTGCACATACAGCCCTGAGGCTAAGATCCTGTCACCTTCTAACTACATTCATGGAGTTTGGACTGTGCAGCATCAGAACATAGTGGGTCTCCCTATGAAGCAGATGAGTTACCCTAGTTGTAAACTCAGTTTTGTGCCTGGTCTACATGCGCCCATGATGTGACCATGTCTTAAAGAACCTCTCGTGGAAATCAGCTATGTTTATGCCCCAAATAGAACCACAACAGTGAAACTTCCAGCCACTAGGATACTTGGCAAGAAACTCTTCCAGTTCACACACACACACACACACACACACACACAGCCAATGCTCACCAGGCAGTGGTGGCATGCCTTTTATCCCAGCACTCAGGTGGTAGAGGAATGTAGATCAACGAGTTAAGGCCAGCCTGGTCTACAGAGCTAGTTCCATCGACTTTTGCCAAGCTTAAGGAAAGCTCTTCTGTGTGTTTTTGGTTATTTTAAATTACAGTCATGCCTCCCCTTTCAATAGATAAGCTGCCATAACATTCAGGAATCAGTGCAAGACAGATAATGAAAGGGGTAGTATACATTTCTTTTTTATTTTTTTTCATGAGCACTCATATGAAAAGAACTAGCAATTCTTACTCTTCTTTTTCATGCTTGGTGTGACCTTGATGGATGAACAATTACCATTACTTTTGAGAACACCTGAGTAGACATGGCTTTGGACCCTGACTGCCACAGCACATTCATGACTATCCTTTTCCTCCCCAGAGGTCATTCATGAAACTGCTGTAAAATGGAAACCTCTATGTTCCTGAGGAAGTCATAAACCTAGGGAAGGGCAACTTGTTTATCCTAGAGGGATAAAAACAGGATGTAATTAATGCCCAATTATGTGGAAGTATATGGGGTTGAAGAAGAATGCAAAAAGTCCATTTTCTACTAAAGATACAGACTGACCTCACCACAGAAGCCTTCTGTGACTTCTCAGTGTTTGGCATGTCATTTCCCACTTAAACAGCTGTATGAGATTTGGTTGACACAAACACATAAAATCTAGTTTAATTCAACCAAGGACTACATTTAAAAACTCTCAAGTTCCAGGGGTTAGACTGCGAAAGGGCTGATCTTGATGGACTCTTTTCATGACTTAGCAGGGAACTCTCAGCACACCTGGTTTAGGTCAATGAAAGAACAACTTCTGAGTGCCTAGCATCCATTTTCTAACAGGGCAACATCCTCCATAATTCTCTGTTCCCACCCTCATGATATAACTATACATCAAATCATCAAATCGTGCAGGCCAAGTTTCTTGCGTTTGCACTCACACAGTGGCACACAGCCACACAGCCCATCTCTACATTGCCAAAGCTGTACTATGATAGAAGGCAAGACCATTCCTGCCTTCTCTCTTTTTATGAGAGCTTGCCCTGGTATGGCAAGGGCAAAAGAAGCATGGTAAGAGAAGAGAAGGGAGCAGATATGGGGTAGGAGGAGCACTGTTTAAGGAGAGAGGAGTCAGTGATAGAGAAGGAGAGCTTAAGAGAATAATGAATATGTGGTTATGACCACATACACTCGACATGTGCATGGAATTGTCAAAAACAAATAAATCCTATCCTATAAAAAAGTTTTCCTAAGAAACTCTATTCTACATTACATGGAACTTGTGTATGTGTGTCCCCTACTCAAGGCAGAAGATAGTTCATGGCATGTAGAAGGCATTCAATAAACACTTGTTAAATAAACATCTGAAGTCCTCTCTGACCTCTGAGGGAATCAGGCACATGTGAGGTGCACACAATATACAGACAACACTCACACATAAAATAAAATAAAAAAGAGAAGACTCATCATTTGCATCCAGACATTGTGGCACAAGTCTGTAGTAACAGCACTCAGGAGACTGCGACAGGAGGATCAAGAGTTTGAGACTAGACGGACTACACAACAAGAATGAATCTCAAAAAATACTAGGCATTTGTCACCCATATCTGGCAACCTGATTTTAATTGCTAGAGCCTACATAGAGGTGGAAGGAAGGAACCAACTCCACAAATTTTCCTATGACCTCCAAACACATGCCGTGGGGTATGCACACGCCCAAACATCGTGCACATACACACAATAATTATAAACTCATTAAATTCTTCAAACAAAAAAAAAGCACAGTAATTTCAGGGAATAAGATGAAATTGTGAGCTGGGAATCTAATGGTTTCTTCTACACACATCCCAGTACTCATATACAGTATATGGCTTCTTGGAGAGTTTTGTGCAATGAACTGGCTTGTTTCTAGGGGTTTCATTTTCTGCCTGTCAGGCTTCATGGGCCTGTTATTCACTACTTCTCCATTTTCCGCTGGCACACTTGTGATTTGTGTTTATAGGCACAGCTTTCCTTCATCTAAGGTAAAATGTTCTTTATTGTTTGGGGGTGATTTGGGGAATGATTTTACTCTTATCAGCTGATAATGAGAGCTCAAGATTTTTAATGGAGTTAAAATGCAACACAAAGGTACATTTGCTTGAATTTCCTTGTGATTTATTTTTTAGGTCTGTGCTACTGAAAAGATAATAGACTTCTTTTCCCTTTGAGGTGGTAACTTCTACACAAGATAAAGTTCCCTTCCCAACTAGAGCTGTTGCCACACTGTAAAAATGTGCTTTGTTTACTTCTATTTTTAATATCCAGGCTATCCTGTTCTGAACTGTCAATCATTTCTTTTAATTGGATGGCAAGGAGGCATTGGAGAGATTGCTTGATGGGTAGGAGTCATGACAGGTTCGCCTGGCCTGGTGTGAGCTATTAAAAATGAGGTAGCAGAGTAATTAGCCTTCCTGCTGCAGAACCATCAAGAGATGAAACACAAGGACACACTGAGCAAGTGTGCACCGTGAGGGTGGACTTGATTTGGGAAGGCTGGAGTAGTAATTGACTCTGACTGGATTCTGGACAAGAAAGGAAAACGTAGCGTTCTGTCCACTAAAGGATACTGCTGGACCAATAGGGATAACTGATTAGGTCTGTGATTGGATGGGAGAACTGAATGGTTCTGGAGTGTGATAGATGAACTTTTATTTTTTTTTTTTTCCATCAGTGACCTTGTTAGAAAATACAAAGTGAAGGGCTGGGGAGAGAGCTCACCTGGCAAGTCCAGGGTAAGAAGAGACCCTGTCTTCAAAAACATGTGGAGAGTGCCTAAGGCACAGAACTCATATTGTTTCTTGAACTCCACATGTGTGTGCACACCTGTGTGCCTGCACCACACACGTCTACAGCTGCTCACACACCAATACACAAAAACAGAGAGAAAATCCATGCAGACATGCCGAGGGTTAGGAGAAGTACGCCTACAGCTTACTCTCAAGTACAAAAGGATAATAAGGCAAGCTTGACAGAAATGTTTACTACTGAGAGGCTATAATACTTTAATCAAGTAGAGGAATTTAGATAGAAGGGGCAAAGAAAGTATTTGTATTATTCTTGCAACTTTACGTTGAAAAAAAAAAAGATTTCCTCTTAAGGAGAGACCACTTACTTC